TTGATTGCTTCCAACGCTAGCACATGAGGATCTCCCTATAAATATGTGTCACCCTCAGAACTTAGGACTTTCCATCATGATAAGAAACTACATCCATACCATCTAGGTATTGTCAAGAGGCAAGGAAATGAGACAGGGGTCAGTAGGGACACTCTACAAGGTCCAAGGGCAGGACGTGATAATCTGTCGGAGTTGAACACAAAACGGCAGGACGCAGCATTTGACATCATGGAAATCTTAGAAAAGCGTGTTTGCCAACCAGTCAAACGCTACCTTCAGGCTCATGATCCTTCTTCAGTCAACCAGGCAATGTTCATAAATCATTATGGTCAAGAGAAGGCCAAGGAGAATGGGACAATTCCTACCAAGCTGAATGATGTTCCTAGTGCATACCGGCTTGGTGGACTTGCAACCGCTGTAGCCATTGGCTATGGAGAGGCAAGTAACCCCCATCTTGATCCGCATGATTCCACCTGTGTATACACAATCTTCACTCAGTTCACAGGTCAGCCAGGATACACTCGCTTCCCTCAGTTGAACCTAGATGTGCTCCTACGCCCAGGGAATGTCATTCTTGCAACCACTGGTTCCCTTATACACCATGCCCACGGACGTAAGGAGTTAGATCGTTCACGTATCACTGCTGTCTTGTACAATTGCTGTGTGGTTGAAGGAGACGCATTCAAAGAACTTATCAAGGAGGTAGACGGCTGTGTGATAGAGTTATGACCAAACACAGTGAACCCTTGTTTGATATGTATGCATGTATTGTATCAATAAACACGTGACATCTGCAAACCCCAGCACGTGTTGTTGCAACACCTCTGGGCCTTGTGCAGGCAACAAACATCATTTTGATCTTCTCTTCTGCACAATCATGCCTCACGGTACCTTGGGAGGCAATTACCCCACCGGAGTCAACCAGCATAACACATCCAGTGAGTGACAAAACACACAATCTTATAGCAAAGTGTTTGACGTTCCAGTCAACAGCGAGCAGCTTGAAACCGCTTTGATCCAATTGATCAATGTTGAGAACGTTACACAATGGGCCACAATTCTGAGCAGACTTCAGTGTGAACATGGAATCAGCTTGAAGTAAGTTCGAGTAGACATTGAACAACTTCTGATGTAGAGGCGGTCAACACTGGGAAAATATCTGAAGATGTTTGGCCTAGGAGGCAGTCGCCGTGCAGATTTAGATTATGGCTCCACTGCTGCAGCTGTAATATCACATGTCCTTGAACACGACCCACTTCTGAAAGATGGACCTTCAGAAGTGGCTCACCGACTAGGCCAGCAAGGCATCCACGTCAAGCGGTGAGTCCAAGACTGTCAGTGCTGTGGTCATTCTAATCAAATGCAGAGATCTTGTACGTCAGGCAATGTTGGACCGCTTCAATGAGGGGTTTGACAGGAGGGCTCGTAGTACCAAGAACAAGACACAACATCTTGGAGTACTTCATGCGGCTGGACCACCGGAAGAGGTCTCCATTGATGGTCATGATAAGCTTAGTGCACTTGGCTTCCCCATCTACGGCATGAGAGATAAATTCTCCCGACGTTGGCTTGTTTTGAAGGCTATCCCTAGCAATCGGGTCAATAGGATGACAGGAGTTCTATACTTACAACTCATCAAAGAGTTAGGCGGTGAGTGTTTATCCAAGCTATGACTTCTTGAATGATGAAGCTGACTTTCAGCTGTTCCACTGCAACTGACAAGTGATTGTGGGAATGAAGTCCTTGACATCTATTCGTATCAGAATGCACTTCGGTTAGTAAGAGTACAGGAAGAGAGGATAGAGGAATGCAAGCTGATGATAGGGCCAACGAACTCCACCAACTGAACATGCTTCAAGAGCAACTCGATTGGCCCCTCATCCCTGAAGCACACCAATTCCTCACCTCAACATCAAACATCACTGTGGAAAGAGGTTGGCGACGCCTGTCTGAACGCTTCAACAGCAAGTTCAAAACACTCATATCAAATGCTATCTCAGCTGGGATCTATCTACCAGGTAGTCAACATCATCGGTGAGTGGCTGTCTCTGTAACTGTGTTTTTCAAGGCTGACTACAACAAGGCTGATCTATTTCTTCCTCTTCTCACCGTTGGTGAACTCCGAACTGGAGTTGTATAGGTTGTCTGTCAACCGCAAGCCCATCCGCAAACAGCATGGATCAAGTCTGCCTACAGGGGAGAGTCCTGACACTATGTTCCTTTCAAGAGGGATTTATTGTGGTATAAAGCTTGGCCAGGAAGGATCAGAACAAGTAGCACGATGGGAAACAATGCTGGGTGGGACAAAGGCGCTTGACTTCCTGGATGAAGAAGAATGGCTGTGGGCTGAGGGCCTGTATGACCAAGTGGGGAGACCGCTTGTGACATTGTCTTCTGTATGGGACGTTTTCCAGTCTATGGCTTCGTGTATTTAAGAGAATGCATCTATCTACCACTCAAAAGAAATTCTCACTTCTTAGAGATCGCCTGAGCCGCCTTTCGGGTCAGAAATCTTCGCCTGCTGCCTTCTTCTGACGGGATCTCAATTGGATCATCCTCCTCTTCTTCAAACAAGCTTCTTGCCCGCTTCTTACCCTTCTTCTGCCTTTTGAACCGAGGGTGTCTTTTTGACTTTTCAGTTTCTTCAACATCTGTGTCCAGTCCATGGTGACTATTGTCTGGAAGCGTTCTGCCGTCAACATTGGTATCCTCACTACAGTCATCCACAAGCTCGTTGTTGGGGTTCGAGGGTGATAGTGATTCCAAACCCAGATGGACACAGAAGGTGTTGCACTTGTGGTTGATTCTAAAGTCATCGATTGCCTTTGTACCTTGGTCGCCCAGTCCAAATGTACCCCTGGTACTGGGGAAGTTATCAGCACACAACTCAATCTGGCGGTGGGGATCACTTACGAATGAATCATTGGATCGAAGATCTTGACACCTTCTGGAAGAAGCCACCCCTCTATATCTGCTAGCAGCATAGTCTCCTGGCTTGCTAGGAACGCAAGATGCACGAAGGCAGCAACGGTGAGGTCTGCTCTTGTCTTCCCTCTGTTCACTTCTAGTGTACCCGAAAATCGTCTCATAGGAGCACGCTGAAAAGACTCAATGAGCCAGACACCATGGTCTTTGTTCTCGGCAACAACACATGCACTTGCTGAGATCTCTGAGTCCATGTCAACCAAGAACCCAATGACATGCTAAAAAGATCACTCACCAACAGCTGCTGCAAGTTTGCACTCCTGCACACATCGATTGAATTCCTCTGCCCAAAGCGCTGCCCAGCAATGTATTTCCACCTCCTTCTTCATCAGGGACAGTAGCTCTTTGTGCGTGGAATAGAGGTGTGGATGTAGTACTTTAGCCACCAGATAGCCATTACGTTCCGTAAAAAAGACACCACCTGACAAGTTGGCCTTATCTGATTAGCTGAAGTCCTGGTAAGTGAAAGAAGAACACACGGGGTATACTACTTTCATCTGTCCCCTGCCAATTTCTTCTTCCGCAACTGTTAACGTCGCCAATTCATCACTCTCCTCCCATTCAATGTCGTTGCCAGCAGAATTACGGCAAGGTGTGAAGATTGTGACAACATGTGTTGTACCCATATCTGATGGATGCTGAGATCGAGGGACAGGTAGTTTAGACATGTACCGTGGAGCGGTGGACTGAGTAAGTGTGGATTGTGCTGTCGGGGATGTATTTGGGATAGGAGCAGGGACCTCCTCAACATTGTCCTGTAGTGTCACAAGGTCAGCCCGTATTTCGAGAGAGAGTGAAAGTGTCCTTGAGTTGGCTTGTGTATCTCGGGCTTGGAGAAGTTGGCGTGATTTTGCAACATTGATGAAGTTATTGATTGTCAAACTGAGGTCCTCGTCATCGATCCTGCTACCGTGCTTTGCAAAATGCAGTGTGGCCGCATTGTTGATTTTTCTTTGTCGATCAGCTCTACAGACAGAGTGCGGGGATAACATACAGATCAATAAATCCTGCTGAGTGATCCTGACCGTCATCCCAAAACTTCGACTGTACCATCTTAACCATTCTTCCTAGAACATCCCTCATCACAGTATCTCGAGCAGCTGAAAAGGACATGACCTCAATCTGAGTGGCCTGTCCCCCAAAGGACTTTTTCTCCTTGTAGTTGAATATGACCTCAACATTGGCACCAGCATTAAACGATGACTGAGGAGCAACTCGACGTGGTGGAGCCATATTATGTATCTGTTGCATGGCTGCATCCCTTGGTGCAAGAGGAGTTTCTTTGCGGAGTCGTGTTTCCTGAGCCTCAGCACGATAAGCTTGTTGTGCACTTTCAAGGGCTGGCAGTTAGTTTATTCTGTAACAGGAATAAGAAAGAATGTAGTAGCCACCTGATGAGGATGAAGACGATGTTTGACTAGGTGCCAAACTACCTTGTTGCTGCCGTCCCTTGATACAGCGTGCACATTCTAGCATGTCCTTTGCGCACAGATTGCCGTCATTGATGCATGTGGACAAGAGCTAGGGTGAGCTGGGAACACAGCTTGACAAAGTAAATATGGACCTACTTTCAGTCGAGCCTCCAGGCCTGGTGAGTTCCGCCTCATGCTACGCATTTGGCAAAGCCCACATTTTTCCACAGGCTGATTGTATACTCCAGCTTGGCAGGTCTGGCAGGAATGCAGTGAAACTATGCTAGCCATGATGCTGGTTTGACTTGCAGATGTCGAGGGCAACGGTAGAGTGAATGGACGAGTGAACTTTGAATCAAGGTGGAGGTGGCAGGTGAAGAATTGATTTCATCCGTGGACTTCTCGTCGACCGTAGACCAGGGAGGAAACAATTTGGTAGTATGAGTCGCTTATCACGATGACGTGTATTTCGACAGTATAATAAGTGAGATGTAGGGCTAAACCGCCCTCTTCATCTTCCTCACCATTCATCCTCCTCAAATAGCCCTTTGATCATCTTGCACCATTACACATCCTTGCATCTTGAACTAACATCATGAAGTTCATTCTTCCTGCAGTGGTTTTCGAGGGACTGCATCTGGCCGCCAGGGCATATCAGTCTTCCCGCTCAGATATGAAATATATGTTACGTGACGCACGGAAGCCGTGATACTTCGGAGTGTCAAGGGGGTCATCATGACTGTCAGAAGATCATGACCTACCAAAGATATCAAGACAACTTTACTAGAATCTTTCCTGGCCCAATTCTAATACATGACTAGGTAGTTGATGTCTCACTCTTCAATGTTCAGCTAGAGATACACGCTGGAGATGCATGTTTCTCCTTATTTTTGGTGTTTTTCTGAAGATCATTGTCTGCTTTTCCATATCTTGCATGGAGAAAAACAAGTTGAAAAATGTTAGGGACCCAGCCGGAGACGGACCCCTCCGGAGCTGCACGGACCCGATCAGACCTGACCAGAGAAAAAGCAGGTTCCTAACGAGTTGATGAGGTAAGAATGGCTAGATGAATTGTTTCCATATGCTTCAAACAAGCATATCCATCTGCAGTAATTTTCCATGGAATTGACATGGTCTGTGAGCAATTCACCAATTTTTAACACCAATCATCAGCCCATGTCTTCCTGTGATAATACCAAACTTGAAGCAACTATTGGAATTGTCCTGCTTACACAATGCTCAGTGCCAACTAAGACAGACAACTGAGAGGTTTGGCTACTAAATTGTCATTGGGAAGAAGAGTAGTTTGGGAAGACTTGGGTCAAAAGCTCAAGGGCATGTGGATTACTCTGGGTGGATCCGGACCCCTCCGGAGTGGCATGTTTGTCTGGCCGGGTCCAAAAGGGGTAGTTTGAACCATGCCACTCCGGAGGGGTCCGTCTCCGGATGGGTCCTTAACAAAATCCCTCTCAGACCTTCTCACTACTTCCAACATCTCTCTATAAAAAGGGATGATTGTTTGAAGCAGTGGTAATCAGTGAGGAGCAATTCTTCTGTGGGTTGTGGTCCCATGACCATGACCCTTCGAAGTGGCACGGCTCTTCTGACGGTCACGCTATCCCCCATGACGCTCCGAAGGGTCACGGCTTCCGACCGTCACCTAACATATACCAAGGGGGAGACGGATGATATTTCCCACACAGTGATCCATCAGGGACATCAGGTTATAGTCAAAAGTTTGGTAAGAACCCGTTTTGGATATCCGGAAGGTGAGCTTTGCTCTACTGCACTGGAATGTCGGACTACAGTGAGTGTTCGTTCGATGATAGATGAATGAGCCATGTCATGCTGTGTTTGACAACATCCCAACATATCTGAGTCACACCCTACAATTGCGCTATCGCCAACAAGTGCGCATTGGTGTTGTGATCTGATTGATATTATGTACAATGCTTTGTGCGCTCTGACATACAGGCTGCCTCATGTGCTGTTGATGAGTCAGACACACTATGAAGAATAATACTTCACGCTCGATCTATTACACTAAGGGCCACCCAAGGTTCCGTAAAGTTGTAACCCTCCAGGACAGTTTGCCCAAGATGGACTTTCAGACGGCAGAGAGCCAGGGAAAAGAGGTGCTAGAGAGTCTAATACGTGAGCCGAGACTTTCTGAAACATTTCCGTTGGACCATACAACTGCTTATCTTCGAAGCATGAACACTATCATTGAAGTCAACGAGAACTTCAATCCCAATGCCAATCCTGAGACTGTGACACATCAGACTAATACACTGCTGAAATCGGTTGGTTGGCAACTGATGTGGTCCTCTAGCTTTTTGGCACTGCAGGAGCTGCCAAGGGCAGGCGAGAGCGTAGGAATGGATGTCGTGGCACCTTTCATGTCAAGGGGATTAACATCGAATGACATTTGAGGGACTTTTTCAGGTACCGTAGTCTACCCGTGGAAGAGACTTTAGCTGTTACAATGTGAATGCATGTGGTTGTGACTGTGAAATTCCACATCAGACTGATAGATTACGTTCCGTCACTCCCTATACCTCTAGCTGTCTCTCCTGGTCGCTTTTCATCGCTTTTATCACACTTAAGAGTAACCAGGTAAGTTCTTACTTATGCATCGCTTTTATCATAGCTAAGAGTAACCCTAATTACACACACGGTTACTTAGCGATCTTCTTCATCTTCGACAGTGACCACCGGTTTAATCGTTGAGCTCTGGGTCGTATCACGGCCAGGCTGACATTTGTGTATATACTTTCATCTGACAGGACTGATAGTCCCACTCCCTTTTTGACGTGTACGCCTAGCTCAGTATTCTACCTTACTTTCACTAACACCCCTCGTCATCTCCTTCCCTTGAGAAGAACTATGACAAGTGGGTCACTACTACATTCTCACAGGCTGATTCACTATTCGAGGACTAGGGTCATTGATCTAATGCCCGTGTGCTCCGGGTAGGCAACAGTGACGTGATATATCTCACTTTCCGGTGTTTGAAAGCCTTTCACTACCAGGAAGACCACAAAATCGATGTATTGTTAATAGCTATGCAAAAGTGGGAATCCCCTATTGCATCCGTGCTGGTTGTCCTATTTCCAACATGTATGACATCATGGGAATCTCCGACTTGTCCTGCAAACATAAAGACTGACAACAGGAGAGGTTCTCCTCCTGCCAACCTGACAAGCTGCATCTAGACTAGGTTGAACGATCATGTGTGGAGCTAGCAGCTCTTCACCAGATTACATTCAGAGTCCAACGTCAACTCTAGTCGACGATACTGCGCTCAAACGGTTCAATGGGGGACCCGAATCTACGAACCGGCATTTCAGGACGACTATCAAGTATGGGAATTGGGATACTCAAGTCAATATGATAGTGTCGGCGCGAACGTTTCTAACTAGTAAGGAGTGCCAGCGTTCAGTAGGTGAATGTAGGACACTATCCAATGACCAACCGTATTGGGTGCATGAGCTTGTGACAAAGGTGCGAGTTCCACTTATCTTTCCAGCATCCACTCTTCTTTTCGGTTGATAGAAATACCCCACGTTGGCAGGTCACATATATTTTGGGAGGTTTGACGTTTAGGTCTTACTGAGCATTTGCCCGGCCGGGAATCACTCGAGGGAGTCGACACATGTATCCGGCTCCACCGATCACGATGGGCGGCATTCAAGTTACGCCGGTTCCATGAGGGCAATCGGAAAACATGCTCGGAAGCTGTGGATGTGGGCTCGCCAGCAAGCTGAAGTTCCATCAAAACATCACTACATCGAATTCACTACCGTTCTTCCCACCAACGCAAGCGAGGCGCAGAGGAGAGAAGCCATTATGAAGCACGGGGTGTACAATTTAGCCACGCAGTTGACGTCTTTCTCGAATGCACTTGTAGGAACAGAAGAAGGTCGTCTTCACAAGGGTTTAGGTGGGATGGGGCGCTCTGCACTGAACTTCCTCTTCTCCCGAACATAGGACCTATCCATCCTCTTACCAAATCAAAGTACTAATTACACACAGAATTTGGAGAGTGTTTGGTTTTAGAATTTATCACCAGTCACCCGGAATAGGTACATGGAGCTGGTCTATATGATCTGATCCTGTCACTGGATGATTCATAGTCAATGATATTCCACCATTTGCCTTCTTTGATCGTAGATGGCAGACACTCTTGTAGACCTGTTGTGACTCATAATAATCCCTACCGATCCAAGGTCAGTGATGTCTTGAAAGCTTGATTTACCATAACAGTCAGACATAGTCCCCAAATAGTGTCCACAGTTATCAATCTCAGGTCTATCCTGTGGCTCATTCTTTGGGGATCACACCAGCCGTCAAGCTTGGTACGCTTATCACCCTCCCTGATACACTTGCACTTTCAACCAGTGTGAGGGCCATTTTAGATGTAGGTAGCAAAAACCCCTTTGCCCGCAGTCTTTCTTCTCTTCCAAACTCCCCAGACAAGTCGTGTATGTTCTGTGACTAACATTGAAACTTGACCAAAGAAGTCATTGGGTATAACTCACTTGAAGTTTGAGCTGAAACGGTCCAGAGGCTGTGCCAAAAGATACATAAGTACACATTCCGGACATGCTGACAGCAAAGACTTCCACAACGGGGTGATGTGAACTATCCATCCTGGTTGTCACGAACCATGTTGTGACATCCCTGACAACTACCATCACCGACCCTCCTTTCACCATCACCGGACCACTATCCACCACCACTATCCACCACCACTATCCACCACCACCCCGACCCACTGAGACCAACTACGGCGAAGTTACGAGAACCTAGGGATTATTTGTCACGACAACCCCGTCTAACGGAGAACTACGACGAAGTTAGGAGAAGGAAACCAAGGGAGAGCGAAGTAGGGGAAGTTGGGCGAAGTTAGTCAAAGTAGGCGGAGTAGGATATCGGGGATATGTCAAGGTACGGCGAAGTTGAGCGAAGAGGACTGAGCGCGAGGCTGTGCAGAGGTTGAGGGACATTCTATGAGAAGAGAGGAGAAGTATTGATAGTTTACAGATCGCTGAACTTCTTCAGCGATCCTTGATTGTTGTCAGTAGCGAGCGATATATTCAGTAGCGAGCGATATATTCAGTAGCTACAACCATCGAGTTAAGGAGAGCTACCACCGAGCAGTCCGACACACTACGGCGAAGTTAGCCGCAGTTCATCGACGATCACTTTATCATTTACCACTCGATGTATTACTATGGCGAAATTAGCCGTAGTTCCCCGCCGAGTACCCTGTCCTAGTGAGACATCGACGCCCCACTACGACGTAGTTAGCCGAGGTTGGTCGACCGTCGGTCAGTAGAGAAGAAGAACCGACGACCGTGACACTGGTCCATTGAAAATATTCCGTTTCACTGTAAGCCTTGGAGTATAACAAGTACGTGGAGCTACTGAAAAGTGAGTTCACAACGACACTCAGATCTCTTCGGTGGTAAGTGATAAGATTGGTATGAACCACGAATTACATCCAGTCTCTGTTAGGTCTGTAGAAGGCAATGTTAAACTAACGTGTCTCACCCCCACCCCCCACACCCCGGGACATTCCAGCCAAGATAGCCGGATTTCCCCATACAAATTTGACCTTGTTCTCTTCCTCCCAATCAACATCCACAACTAAGCCTCAGATTTCTCACATGTGATGAACAACTGGTCAAGGGACAACATGCCAGTTTCAAGCTTCAGGGCCCCATTATGCATGCCTGACATCAGGAAACCTGTTTTCAGAAATGTGCCTGTAGACAGGATGGGCTCATACATGCATACTTTGCATCTATGGGTTCCTTGGATCCTCTAGATCATCCTCATTTCTCCATTTCAACTGTTGTGTTGGCCATACGGGCATGAGTGGGATTCTTTAAAAGTGTCCCAAAGGAGGGGAGGGGGGTCCCAACTGTAGGGGCACGTTCCTAACAATCAGACAGTTTCGGAGTATGTGCGAGGAGATGCTTATCACTGGGCCGCGGACCACGGAGCCCACGGAGCCGTCATATCTCGACGACACGTTATTGAGAGGGTAACACAGCTTGGACTGTACACAGTGGCCATAACCAAGACTGTGAATATCTCAGGAAGAAAGAACATTGCAATACTGCGAGAGATCGAAGATATAGCCAGATTGTGAAACACCATTGCCAATCACAAATCAGGGTCAAATAGCGCACTCAGTTTCTGTGGGCCGTTGTTCTCGTGGAATGGGCGATGATTCTGTGGCGATGATGTCGGGTGTACATGTTAGGTGACGTACGGAAGACGTGACACTTTGAAGCATCACGGTATGATCATGACCAGCTGAAGATCCGTGACACTTTGGAGTGTCATGACACCTAGGGCCATGACACTAAGAAGATCTGAAGTTTCCACAACACCACTGATCAAAATCAACTATGCTTTGGATCTGTAGCTCTAGATCATGATTGGAAAGAGGCTACCAAAAAAGATCCCATGAATGCATGCATGGGAGGAAGAAACAGCATTTTGAAGTTTTGATGTTGAGGAGGCTATTGCGCAACAACCCGATCAGCTACACTCATCTCCTCTTGATACAAAACAGATTGGGACCATCTCTTCTCAGGTGTAAAGTTGCTCAGAGTCTGCAGGATATCTGAGAGCATGGCAGGTACTCTTCTGTGGGACACAGATCTCCAGCCGGTCATGGTCATACCCATGACGCTTTGAAGTGTCACGTCATCCGTATGTCACCTAACATACACAAAGAGGAGGCTCTTGGTTTGTATTTGACCAAACTCCATCTGCCGCCATTTTCACACCCCCAGATCCCCTGCCACACCGGCTATCACACCTGGCTTAGTGTCTGCTTGACTTATTACAGACTAGCATCAATATCAAGAGAATCCCTCACAAGGTTGATTGGAGTACCAAATTAACAGGTATCATTTCCCCCAATGAGAAAGTGAAACTCATTTGGACCACCAATCAGGGCTCACACACAGGCCCCAGTTCGGCACAAGAGCATGAGAGATATGAGCTGTGGAGGTTTTTGCATCATTGGGCAAACACAGCGCAGTATGAATTTGAGACACTGGTATTCCAACATGAAATTGTTGAGGCTGGCCTTCCAGAGACTACTTTGCCAGAGGGTGGAAGGCTCTGACCACAGAATGTTGTTCAAGAATGGCTTCTGCATTTCGCGATGCAACATATGAACAACGAGTCCCAGGCAAATAGGTCAGCTGAGGAAATTCTTCTTGGCTGACTTTGGTCATCAAAAACCAATATCAACAGAAGCCGTGCCGCTTTGAAGTGTTGCGGGGTTAACGTGACCAGCTGATGATGTGACCCATGGAAGAGTCCATATTGATACAGCTACTCCTCTCCCAAACACAATCCCCAAGTGTGGCCAGGTACCTGTAGCCTCACTGCACAATGTCCATTCAGAGGTACAGGCCGGGAATACCGATTGCTCCGATCATGTGACCTCCTAGTAAGAATCAATCGGCGTGTTTTTCACTTTGTGGTGGAATCTTAGTGTACAACTGTTTTGGCATCTTCTCACAGCCTCTGACATCTGTGAGAATGGGTCTGACAATCTGAAACAGTGGTTATTGGTGAGGAATGATTCTTTTGGTGGGTCATGACCACGAGCCCATGACACTTCAGAGTGACATGATCCTCACCCATGCCACTTCTAAGCGTCACGGCTTCCGTCCGTTACCCAGACTGTGAATGGTACCTTGTACCCTTCCCCTTGGAAGAAGTCTGTCTGGGTCTGTATTCCCAGCAAACACCTTCCTACAAGGAACTATCAATGAACACGATCGGTACCATGTGCTTGCAAAAATGATCGTGATTTCAAGGATGAGGCGAGAAGATAAATCTCCGCCTTCCGCATTCACGGGATTGACATTCCTGTCCTAATCATTTCTTGAGGGTAATTCTTATGTGGACTGTCAATTACCACTGTTCACCAGAGGCAATGTGTGGAGACTGCGGATGGACCATAAGACGAAGAGAAACTCCGAGATCTATCATGGACCCCCCGACGCACGGAAGGACGAGATTCGGCAGGATCCGTCCGTGAGACTGATCAATAATCGTGGGAAGAAGCTGTGTAGGTCAAGCGGATCTTTAACTAGTTCTCTCTGGTGGGATCCTTACATGCGCGGTATCAATCCTGAGTGAGGGAAGGAAGGATAAGTGGGGAGAGGGTAGAGGGAGATAAAATCTCTTTCCACTTTGAAATCTTTCATCTCCCCTCCCCAATATGTCGTCCTTCCTCAAGATCCCTGCAAATATGACCGGGCCGCACACCGGATGGGTTGTGGAAGAGTTTCCTGGAAGAGCTGACACAAAAGACGAAGAAGATCAGCCAAATTGTGTACTCCCCAAACAAATTGTTCCAATAGTCTGGAGTCACCTCGAACAAAGCACTTATGGGAGTAAGACCGAAGTTTTGGTGTCAGCAAAGACAAACCTGATGAAAACCCCTGTGGACAGCAATGAAAACCCAAAAGAGATTTTCAGCTTTGATACAATGGTGAGTTCAGACTGAATGAATTTGCTCATTTGAGTCGGGAGCAATCCGCTGATCCGGTACAGCTTTACATTGAGATCTCAGCCTGGAAATCACCAAACGGCATGCCTACTGAGTCAAGTTCTGCAGTCACCACTGAAGCTGCCCATTCCGCTACACTAATCCGTATCAACGCACTGTCGAACAGCCTAGCAAAGTGGGGTGACAAATATCAAGCTGAGTGTTCCAAACATTTCTCATGCTCTGTCACACATGCAGCAGATACAACACCAGCCCTGGACAACAAGGAGGAATGGAGACAACTTACACAGAATGAGGCTGAGAGGGCCGCGTTTGAGTACCTTGACACAATTTGGAACACGCTTGACAAAGACAAAGTACATGGCATGGAGTCCAATTCAGGTCTAGAGGGAAGACCATCTCTGACAAAGCAAAGCTCTTTTCTCCGCATCTGGTGAAATCATGATCTGTAGAAATAACTCAACAACACAGCACTTCAGTAAGGTCTCAGCACCTTTCTGACTGGTTTCTGGATGTGTAACAGTCAAGGAACACACAAGTATGATATCTCATATCAGTACCTTTACTGTAGGATTGGATAGCATAGGTGGTGAATGCTATGGAATTATATGGTGAGATGAGAACACGTGTTTTTGCAACCTGTGGACTGTTGTCTTGATTGTTCTGATCTTCATAGTAATCACAGAGCCCATCCAGATACTGTGACTGATACTCTACTGCTAGCAGACATCCATCAACATGCAAGCTTTGAGTCCATCACGTTTGAATTTGGAAAAATCATTTGAGTAGAGTACAATACAGTGATACATTATTGAAGCTGTCTCTTTCTGGAAGCATCTGCTAACATACATTCTGCTTGTCTGACAGATATACAGTATTGGGTGTCAAAGTGAGCGATACAAAGACAAGTCTCATTCTATTTACAAAGCCGTCCAGAGGGTTTAGGATCACAGATGAGATCAACCCCATGATCACTTTGAGTTCCATCACTCATCCCCCTTGCATAGCAAGTTCCGCCGTACGAAGTGAATTCTGCGATTACGGTGGGGACACCAGTTACGGTACACTATGTTTCAGTAGAGATTCACTTTACTTCATTGGCCCTTCACTACTCTTTTTGGGTCTTCTGGATTGTATGTAGCGCCCATGTACACCGACTCCTCTCTCCAACTGTGTCTAGACCCTTAGAGTTTCACGGACGTGTCCCACACCCCTCTCATTCGAGGTAGAACACAGAAAAGAGTATCCAAAGAAACAACGGAACAGATGAGAGTGACATAGATCAACAGAAAAGACCCAACAAGATGGGAAGTTTGAAAGAGCACAAAGAGGAATGGAGGATTAACTTACAGTACCTAAAACAGCACTATCATAACCTCTTATAGTGACCACCTCACTAACGCTCGGACCGGGAAATTCAAACATGTTAAGATCTCCTGGAAAGTTTCCAAGTTCTTTTCCTTCATGTTCGACATAAGTGTAATCTCCCACGGCGAAGAAAGCGGTAGGTACTGCTCTCGGGGAAGTATCACGCACGACAGGATCTGCGGGTGTTTCCGTACGTTTGGGGGCGACGACTTCGGCTGCTGAGCTTGCCAGTACTAGAGGGAGAAGGAAAAGGAAGTAAGGTAACATTCTTCCTACTGATATCAGCTTGAAACTTTCTCACCCTCCGGCTCTGAAGCACATGCCTTGGCGCTCTCAAGTTTTATACCTTGTGGAGTTGGGTGCCTCAATGAATCCTAGGGTAGAGGGGAAATTTGCGTGTAGAGAGACAAGTTGGATGATGAGAAGTTTCACTCACAAGTCTCAACGGGAGAACTCTAAGTCTGGCTATTGAATAATCTGGACAAGGATTACGTACAATGGGTAGTCGTTGAAATCGAGAGATACGCCCCACTCAACTTTCTAATTCTTATACCCTACTCATAGAGGAAGGACGTATCATCTGCCCATCTACACCTTCCTTTCACTCCCCCTGTCAAGGGGAAACCATCAAAAGGCTCCATTGGTTATATTTGCTCCATCTTGAACAGTCCTTTCAGCTAGTTAGTAGATCAGGGGGGATATCTGTCACCGTGGATGATACGTGTTCGGTCCTTGATTGAAGTCACAAGTCGGTTTTGGCATTCGTACGGATCCATGTCTAAGGAAGATGATGCGGATCATGTGGATCTTCCCTTGGGAAAGGTGCTCAGGCAACAGAGAATTTAGTAACGTAAGATGAGATAATTAGAAGACCCCGTGTGGGGTCGAGACGATCGAGATGATAAGATAAGGGAGTAGGTACTTTTGATCACGAGGGTCGAAGTCGTCAAAGGAAGTCATGGCTTTGATGGAGATTGTGCAGTATATCAGGTAGTTATATGACAAATAGGAGGGAGGGAAGGAGATAAGCATCTATCAGTCTATGTACTGGATCTAAATTAAGGGGGGTGGATGTACTTTTGATACGGACTCAAATATCACGGTCTCATCTAGCCGAAGGAGAGTGAGTACGAATGAAAGATTGATGATGACAGTAGAGTAGTGTAGGAGTAGTGTAAAGATCGATGATTGGCGCTAGACAAAGAGTAGGTGAAGGACAAGAGGGAATGATCAGAGGAGATAGGCAAGAAAATAGCCGTAACGGATGAGGGGAATAATCAAAACAACCAAAATCTCAATTCTTCTTTCCCAAAGCGGCCAATCTCACCCTCACCGCATTCGCATGACCTTCCAATCCTTCCCTCTCTGCTAATTTCACCACCGTAGGTCCCAACTCTTCCAACCCAGCAGAGGTAAGTTCCTGAGCCGTAATATGTTTCTGGAAAGAAAGCGTGTTTACACCTGAGAATTGACGAGCGTAGCCATTAGTGGGAAGAGTGTGGTTCGTCCCGGAAGCATAATCACCACATCTGTCGTCAGTCAAATGAATCGAGGTGACCTTTGAATCATGAAGTTGACAAGTTGATGACGAAGAATCAGACATTGGAATGATGAAAAGGATGATGGAAGGATTGATCCGACTTACGATTCCGGTGACCAAGCACCCACAAAAACACTCCCAGCATTATCTACCAAATCCACCACATCCTTGGCATTATCCAAATGCAAGATTAAATGTTCTGGGGCGTATTCATTCGAGAATCTCATTCCTTCTTCCAAGTTGTCCACACGAATTATCAAACTTTTCTTGATCGCCTCCTTGGCAATGTTGACTCTTGGTAAAGCCCGAGCTTGTTCGTCCACGGCTGTTTCGATAGCAGCTAGATGATCGTCGGAGAGAGATACAGCCACGAGGACGACTTGAGAGTCTACGCCGTGTTCTGCTTGGGATAGGAGGTCAGAAGCGACGAAAGTGGGGTTAGAAGATTGGTCTGCTATTACCTGTGGGTCAGCTAGCGTCCTTCGGGAGAGATGATAGGGACGATCTTCCAGTTCTGTGCCTAGTTCGTTCACTCAGTTATGATATAATAGTCGTGAGATGATTGAGTTGAGACCGTGGAGGGCGATTCCAGTGATGAAGAACATGTCACAACAAAAATAAACCCACCAAAACCTCACTGGGCCCCGCTGGCATATCTATGCCCACCAAAGCATCCGTATCATTCTGAACCAACATTTTCGCCGCTGTGACCCATTGATTACCCGGTCCGAAGATCTTATCAACCTTCGGGACCTCCTTCGTTCCATAAGCCATAGCCGCCACAGCCTGTGCACCACCCGCTTTCAAAATACAAGTAACACCTGTCAATCTCGCCACATACAGCACCTCTGGCGAAATCGAACCATCCGGTCGGGGTGGAGTAGCAAGTACTATTTCTTTACACCCCGCTACTTGAGCTGGAACACCCAACATGATAGCTGTGGAAGGTAAAATGGCAGTACCACCCGGAACGTAAATCCCTACTCTTGCGATAGGTCGAGCGAAACGGGAACAAACGACTCCTGGCATGGTATGAACTATCAGAGGTCCTTTCTCCGCCTGAGCTTCGTGAAATTTCCGGACGTTGGAATAAGCTATATCGATGGCGGTTCGGACGTCGATGGGAAGGTCTGAGATTTGTGGGATTGGATAAGGTGGAAGGAGGACATTAGAGGTGAGTTGAGCTCGATCGAATTGATAGGTAAGGGAGAGTAATCCTGCATCACCTTCTTTACGAACTCTCTCGACGATGGGGCGAACTTTATCGATCATGGCGAGTGAGTTGAGAACAGGACGAAGGAGAAGGGAGGAGCGTTCGGATTCTGGAATGGTGGATAACGTGACAGTACGCATTTGTATTTTCTCGTCGAACTCTTCATTTGAGCCGTCCAACTTGACGGGTGTTGGGGATTTTGTCGCTGTGGAGGTGGATACAAGTGTAGGAGATTCAGAAGGAGTAGACTTGGTAACGGATAAAGCAGAAGTGATCTTTTCCACCCATTTAGGTTTGGCATCACCTTTCCTCCTCGTCACTTTCAAAGACTTCCTGTCCAGAGCCCTTTCCACGTCCTCCCATTTCACACCTTTACTGACACATCTGGTCAAAGCGAAAAAGACCAAATCCGCCATTTCGAAAGCTACCTCTTCTTTCTCCTCCGCTTCACACAATTCTTCCGCTTCTTCCATTATCTTACTCCTCAACAACTCTTCGTCGTCAAACAATCTCTTTGTATAGCTTCCTTCAGGCGCATCTCTTAATCTTCTTTCTAACGTACTTTGAAGTCGTTCCACACCGTTCAGAGATCCAAAGCAGGTCGATTGGGGTAAATGACAGAACCCTTCTCCATGCTGAACCACAGTAAACAACAAAGAGTCAGAATCGCAATCCGCTCGGATGGAAATGACATCTTGAACAGCACCCGAAGTTTCGCCTTTACGCCATAGACCATGTTTACGGGATTGATAGATTCCTTTTTGAGTAACGATGGCTTCGGTCACGCTAACGGCGGAGGAATAAACAAGACCGAGAGGTGATGAAGATGTGGTTGATACGATAGTAGGAAATAAACCATCTGGTCTGTCAGAAGTGAGAGGAGCAAGGAATGCTTCAGGAATGGAAAGATGAGTGAAGGTGGTTGGACCGGTTGTGAGTTTAGAAGTGGGGATGATGTATGTTACTTTTGTGTCTCTGAGGCGGTCCAGTAGTGTGTCGGAAGAGATAGATGCACCAGATAGGTAGACTTGTTTTCCTTTTAAGCCAGTCTCATCGGCAGAGAGAGTAGAATCCTGGTCGATATATACACCCGAGACAGAGGATAGATCGAGAGTGTCGTCGATATTTAACAGATGGAGTATCAACCTGTGACTGGGGACAGACGCTACCAGGGAAAGTTGAAACGGTGACAGTATGACTTTCTCTGCACCTTCGTTGAGAACCGATATCAAGTCCGTTTCGTCATCGGCGAGAACCCAGTATGAAGCTGTCGAAGTGAGAGAAGGGAGGACGGCTCGGAGGAGGGAGGCAGGTAAGAGCAACGGTCCGAGGAGTGCAAGCGAGGGGATGAGGGCTGCTGCTGTCGGATCTATCAGGGGTACGAAGGTAGGTCCCATACCCATGTTAAGTTGAGATATGTATAGGAAGAGTTGTAAGAAAAGGAATATAAGGGAATGTATGGGTGAGCGAGTCGGATTCAACTTTTTTTTTTAGAGTTGGATGACATGCTTACGTAATGCAATCATGAATGTGGCGGTTTGCGAGTGTGGCGAATTTAGGGGAATTCGTGTGGCGCCGCCGCACGGAACTTGCCCGTTGATGGTGAGAGTGAGATCGATAATCCGTGACAGTCGGGCATACTCCTCCAACGCCTTCTGAGTAGTACGATTGTACGAGAAGGGGGAACAGCTCGTTGTCACGCCTTCCAACTACTATATACCCCACCTTTTGCCAGTTTCCCATGATGTATCCGCCTTCCTATCCCAAATTACCACAAATGGGAAGAGGATTTCCCCCCTGAGCTGGAGGGGATAAGAATTGTGGCACTGTCCCCTTTCCTCTCCACTCTCCACACATTACTCTTCAATATCTGGCAGCTACTGATTCTGTCATCTTCCCCGATGAATCCGTCCACATCTCCTCAGGTCAACAACATGAAATATTTCAAGTATGACAACTGGTTGCTTGTGGTGGAAATACAAACAATAGCTGATGAGTCATACATTTATCCATTGAAATGTACTCAATCAGTAGAGACTTATTCAAGAAATGATCGGTGGGGAGGTGATTCACCGGTGGATGATCCGCCGGAAGCTCGTCCACTGCAAGAGAGTCTACCTGGGGCCACCAAGGACTTGGTTAGAACCATAGAAAGTCTCCCTCAACTGTTGCAACCTGATCCAGACCTTGAGACCAAGTATGAAGCAGACCGCTTACTTGATCTCTATTGCTCCATAGTGGAAATTGATTATAAGGTCCAAAGGGTGGTGCAGAACCTGCATCTGATACCAGATACCGGCGCTGTCAGTTGCCTGTCACAGCTTGTCCGAGAGAGCTCTGACTTTCCCCAAAAGATTTATGTACCTTCATGGTATAACTGTTCAATTTATCATTCACGCTTCATAGATCTGGCCAATGAGAGCTTGAAGTCCATGCGCGATGGATACAAAACCACCGCAATAGACCAGCTACAGAGTCTACGCTCAACTGGACGAAATGGACGAAACACTCCAGGGTCTGAATTATGCCGTCATGCCTTCATGGAGGGGTTATGCAACGCCTTGTTATTCACCCACATTCGAAATCAGAAATCAAATGACATGTCATTGTTGTTCACACCCTTGCCAAACAGCAGGCCGAAATATTTGCAGGACTCCCCGAGGGTGACTGGAAGTTGCGTGCGACAATCACAGAGGAATACGAAGATGACGAATATCTCTGCGGATACAGCTTTATCAACTCCGACACACTGTAAAGGTGTGCTTAAGTCACTATTGGCGTTGATCACGAAAATGCCGGACAAAAGTAGATGATTACGTACTATCAGAGATGACATGGACTTCTTCCCTGCCCTTCACATACTTTATACGGAATGTAGCTTCTGTTCGGTGTTGAACATTGATTCCTGGACAAAAGGAAATTCTAAAACAACTACAGGAAGGCTGACTTTCTGGTTTCACGTCTGCGAAATCCGTTTGAATCCCCCTGCCTGACCCCATTCTCACATTTGTTCGTTCCATCACCCACTCTCAAAGCGGTTTAGTACCTTTTCTATAACGTTACACTACACCAACCGACCCCATGGTCTAAGAGTGTTAGATCAAAGGGAAAGTTGTCCCTCACCTCTTCTTTCTGAATGAGAGTGAGAGATGGGGAAATGGGAGTGAAGTATCAACTTTGTTCTAGGCCTCGCCCGATCCGCACGGATATGATGGTCTACCACGGGCGGATCTTGTCCCCCAAGAACCATAGTCCGTGGGAAATCTGGAGTAGAATTTTGTGTTGGAGGTGAAGACCGTATCGCCGTGACCCCGCCATTCCAGGGGTAGAAGGCATGGAAGGATAGAAGTGGAACACAATGATGAGGTAGATTGTAGAGTTCATCGATCTAGATCCCCCTGACATTCCCGACGTTGACGTTGTTGATGATCGCTAGAGCGGTAGTAACTGGTAGTTCTTAGCTCTGTATAAAGCGATAAAGAACTACCAGGAGGTGAAAAACTTTGGTAGGAGATGTGGGACGTTACGTAAAACAACCACGTGTCTTTCAACAGCCTGTACTAGGTACATACCTGTGATCCTGGTGTTTGCCCCGCTGCTATAGATGTGGCGTACAAGACAATCTCAAGGCCTGGCCTGTTTGCTGATAATTAGATGATAATACAGAGGGGGAAAAGAGCATGCATCAATACTACATGTCTCCATACTTATCACATTCCACTCACACCCAGTAAACCAGAGACGATCGTATAGAGTTCAGAGGATAAGTTGAACGGAGGAGAAATATTCGACGGAAGGGGTAATCATCTAACGGGAATTCGGCCGTCCTGGGCCGATCCTATCGGCTAACATGGCCTGATTCTCACGGAGATGTTGGCGCTCCACGGACGGATCCTGTCACCCAAGAACCAACTTCTGTGGGAGATCAACGTTGGAGCGTGTTTCTATGGGGAGTGAATGACGTAATACTGTCGACCCGCTAGACCGGGCGTGAGAAAAAGAGAAGCGGGACACAAAGATGAGGTGGAGATCAGGTTGTATAATATTTGTTCTTGTCCGAGGGTGAGGATACTACCCGAAAGAGACTAGTAGTGGCAGTATGGGACCAGAACTTTTGTTCAAGAAGTACTTGATGGAAAGTGGAAACTATCGGACGAGTGAATGGCCCTGCCCCGGTGGGGTTGTAGATCGATGACCGGAGGGTTCCACGGCATCGAGGCCTGGACCGCCATTCGACGACGATTTGAGAAGACTCTTCAGCGTGAGAAGAAATGCGGAGTAAAGAGTTTGGGTCATGTGAACGCCGTAACGCCGCAGAGACATTGGTGTGGGTGGTTTGGGTGATATAAGAACGGGGGGTGGATCAGACGGGTCCCCGTATCCTCGTCTATCATTTATCCGGCAAACATACAATTTACAATAGACTACAGCTATCACCAATTAGCGGAACAATTATGACTGGCAGTCCACCAAGTCACCCGGCGGCTGTCATAGACCTTGTACCAGCAAGTTTGCCTTTGGGTGATGAATGCAGTACCTTGAAAGACGAGACCGACGATTGGGAGCAGCTCAGCGACGGGGAGCCGCTCAGCGACTGGGAGCAGCTCAGCGACTCGGAGCAGGTCAGCGACTCGGAGCAGGTCAGAGACTCGAAGCAGGTCAGAGACTCGGAGCAGGTCGAGGTCACCGAAGTCCAAACTACCAAACTGTATCCATCACACCCAACCCCAGTGGAAAGTTTGCGTTCAATCTTGTGTAAGCCCAACGACGGAGACTACTCCAGCTCTCTGGGTAAATACACTATCCAAGCTGCACAGATTTTAAGTAGTCAAATTCAAGGAGTCCTGGACACTTGGTCAACATTTGAAATGGCTCCCAACCCGGTCCTGCAGATCGAGGCCCTCCTGTCTATGTACACACTTCTGGTCAGTTTCTTTGACTGTTTTGAGTTAGTGGGTCAAGGTCTGAAGGATTCTTTGAGCATTAGCAGAGCCACTCTCCATCAGCCTTCAGAGAAGCCCGAAAACAAAGTCATGGTAGTATCCCGTCCACGTAACCGTCCCAGAGACCAGGTAGTGAGTCATTTTAGTTTCAAGACCAACATCCTGTTTGGCAAGCTCGCTGACAGTTCTCTTAAAATTCAAGACGTATCAGATGACTTGTGGGGACATGGTGAATATTCAGGAGAAAGTGTACTCAAACGGGCCTATCTCTTAGGCAAAAACCGCGAAATCTTCAAGCCTCATTTACACTCCCTGAAGAGCTCCCTGGAGACAAGCCAAAGCCTGGGGGCACACGTCCGGACTGACAAGGCAAGCAAATATATTGCAATTTTTCAGGCTCTTGGAGAGGTCAAGGACTCCATTCTTGAGGAACTGAGGTCCGCTGAACCTGCAAAACAGCAACAGTTAACCAATAATACACATGAGGCTAAGGTAGCCCAAAGAGTAGAAGCGGCAATGGGTAAGAGCATTCTCTCGTGAGTACAGGTATCGACTAATCAGACGGGGGCCATACTGTATGTAGCTGACAATGGAGTCTATACACATGTATGGACCCACATGGTAGTTGGATAGGGAACATGACCGGAAACGGGACCATCAGATTGTTTTCCTGGGGTAGCATGTCCTTCTACCTCCGTGATTTCTGTCAGAAACCCTGACTACGTGTCAATTCTCTCAAACAGGTGATTTGCCAAACAGGATCACATATCTATCCATACAATCAGTCACACTCCACTTCTGTCCCACTGTATCTACAACATGACCATCAGATGATGTGTACTGCCTCACAGGCCATGACCCATAGAAGAATTGCCCCTCACCAATAACCTCTGATTTCCACAATCACACCGTCTTGTAGAGGGATGTGCGACGGAATTCGATGAGATCAATCTGGTCTCCTTGATTTCCGTTACCTGTTACCTGCTCAGCACTTATTGAGAGTGATGCATACTAAAGAACTCACCTGTTACCTGCTCAGCACTTATTGAGAGTGATGAGCAGGAAACAGGTCACAAACTAACTATCTACTGATCATCGGAGTTACCACAAGTCTCAGATATACGAGTGTGGCTATGTGACTGTACCCTACCAATTCCGTTGCCTCCCCTCAGGAGCATAGCCTAATTTGACATGTTATTGACTTTGTACCCCAAGCGCACTTCTTAGCTGACGGGTTCGGTCTGCCGAGACTATCTTTGTTAAGATGTCCGCACGGTTTGTTTCAGTTGGGACATATTTGAGCAAAATTAGTCGAGCATCCTGTTGTTCGCGGATCCACTGGGCTCGCATATCAAAAGCTTTGTTGAGCTTGAATCCGTGTTGGTGTTTGGCAAGCTGAATAGCTCCATTGTTGTCGTTATAAATGGTGATGGGTTCTCCATCATCTGGTCCTAGCTCAAGGTCGGCAAGGAGCTGTCGCAACCAGATTGCTTCCTTGCCAGCTTCAGTAGATGCAAGAAGTTCTGCTTGTGTTGTTGAAAGTGCAACAGTGGGTTGTCGTCTACTCTTCCAGGAGACAATTCCTCCATAGGTACTGAAGACATAACCGGTTGTTGATCGTCGAGTGTCCAGACAACCTCCCCAGTCTGCGTCTGCCCAGCCCAATAAGGCCCTCTTTCCTGCTTGACCATCAAAAGTCAAACACAAATTGGATGTACCACGAAGATATCGGAGAAGGTGTTTTGCTGCTTTCCAATGAGTGAGTGACCATTTGCCAATGAACTGACAGAGGACTGAAGCTGCGTGCGCAATATCCGGTCGTGTTATGGTCGCAATGTACAGGAGGGATCCCGCCAAAGCTGGAAATGGTTTGTCTCGGGCTTCTTCAACTTCGTCTGGAGTGGCTTCAACAAGTTTTGGTTCAGCTGGAAGGACCGTCTTGCATGGCTTGCCGGTCTCACCAAACTTGTTCAGGAGAGCCTCGATGTAGTGTTCTTGTGAGAGATACATCTTCTTCCTCGCCATATCTTGGTAGATGTTGATACCAAGGAAGTAGGAGACTGGACCCTGATCCGTGCATTCAAGCTCTTCATGTATCTTTTGCTTGAGCTCCTTAAGTTTAGTTGGGTTGTTCCCAGCAACAAGCATATCATCAACATGGATAGAGATCATGAAGCGTACTTCGCCTTGATGAAATGTGTATATGCACGGATCGGCTAGACATGGCTTGAAACCTATTGTCTTGAGGAACTTGTCAATCTTCTTGTTGAAGAGGTGTGGGGACTGCTTGAGTCCATACAAGGACTTTCGGAGATAGAGCACATGGCCCGCAGGGATGTCGCTACCTTCAGGGGGAGTAATGTAGATGTCTCGATCAATGTCCCCTTTCAGAAATGCCCCAATGACATCCATCTGGTGACAATCCCAACCAAGGTAGTTGACAATTGATAAGAATACTTGGAATGAGGCTTTATGAGTGACTGAGGCAAAGAGTTCATCATAATCTCAACCGGAAACTTGTTGGAAACCTCAAACAACGAATCTTGCTTTGTATTCTTGAGCTTGCCCAGTGTCACCATTGATTTTACGGGTGTAAACCCACTTCCCTGAGAGTGTCCGGTGGTGCGCTTCCCTTGGAATTGCTTCCCAGACACCATACTTCGCCATCTTGTTCATCTCTTCATCCATCGCCTTGTTCCATTCAGACCATTCAGCAGATTGGCGTGCTTCGGAATAACTTTGGGGGTTGCTGAGGATGTGTGCTGAGAATGCATGTTCTATGGCAATTTTGCCATACTTGTTACGGGGTAACAACGAATCGAGAGAACTCCATCGAACTCGACGGATTAGGAAGGAAAACGGCGAGAGTTGGAGGCAGTGCTGCAGTAGGTAGGGACAGGTTTTCCCTTTTCGAGATTTCCCCACTGGGTTTGCTCAAAAGCGGTTTTTCACCTGTCCGAGTATGTACATAGACGCTTGCAGTAGGAACTGAGAGGAGGACACGGATACCTGTAGACAAGTATATAGTACAATCAGCAAAGTACCAACTTTGCTGATTCTTCAATATCATTCTTTGGCTACATCGATTGCAGAGGAGACACGATCCATTAGCACCAGAGACACATAGATTTCTACGAGAGTTCCATCGACTTCGACCCAACCTGCGACCTAGCCATCGTGTTTCCAGTACCGTTACAAGACTCCACCATGTCGATTGGATGTAAGGGTTTCTGGAACACTGGGTCCGATCCAGCAAGTCTGCCTGAGCGTCGAGGAACATTGGGGAGATCGACTTCATTGTCCTCTCCTTCAGCTACCGGTTCAACAGGGGTATTTATGGGGTTTGGTTCTGGACTTGGTGCACCCTCCCTGGGGATTGGTTCATACCTCCATCCTGGTCCTTCCATCGCTTGCCTCCCCTCGCGCCTTGTTGGTCTGGGTGGGGTTTCCTCCTCAATTTGAACAGACTGGTTGGTTTGAACTTGCTGTGGTTGATCTACCTCCCCTGATTCATCGCTGTCCAATGGGGACTTAAATAAGGAGAATGGGATGCTTGTCTCTTCATTTACAGGATCTTGGTTGGTATTTGTCAAACCCTCCCAATCTGTGTTGGGTGTGACCATAATCACATCTCTACTGATGATAACTCGCTTATCCTCCGTGAGCACCTTATACCCTGAAGTTCCCTGCGCATATCCAATAGCTCTGCCTGCAAGACCGCAAGGCTCGAACTTGGAAGCTGGTTTCACTACTCGATATATACAAGGACTTCCAAAACGCTGTAATTTGGTATAATCGATGATGTTTGCAGTACTATTTGGCTTGAACCTCCCTAGTGGTGTGTTTCCCTGGGAATCGGGATGCCTGTTCCGTGTGTGAACTGAGTATTCTAGGGCGTCAAACCAGGATATTTGGGGAAGGTGTGCTTCAAGCAGATTTGTCCTGACATCATTCAAAAGAGTAAGATGTGCTCTTTCAACTCTTGAATTCTGATTGTGGGCGTCGGTGGAAGTGAATACATGGTCTATCCCCTTTTCATGACACCACTGAGCTAGCTCATGACTTGAGCACTCGCCGCCTTGATTTGATCGGATTGTTTTGATTGTTCGATCCCGCTGATTTTCGACTAGATTTGAGTAAGTTTGGAGAGCTTGTGAAGCCTCAGACTTGTTGCGAAGTGGAGCAACATAGAGGTATTTCGAGTAATCATCATACACAGTCATGAAGTACTTGTAACCTAGTCTCGAGGTTGTTGCTGCTGGACCCCATAGATCAACGGAGATGTTGACAAGCGGTTTCTGAGCACGGTGAGGATGTAGCAATGATGCTGCAGGGGTTGTCTTCCCTTGTAGACACACTTTGCATTCTATCCGCCGAAAACTTCTCATCCATCTTTCCTCCTTGCCCAACTTCCCAGCCCTTCCAAGTTCCCACACTTGTTTTAGGTCTGTGTGACCAAGGCGGGAGTGCCAATTGAGGAGCTGGTGATCTTGGCTGTCAGCGTCTTCTTTTGTTTGAAGGGCATGGTGTATTGCCGAAGGGGAGATGCGTACCGGTGCCTCGGCGAGGGAGGTACCATAGACCATTCCGTTTAGCTCCCTTCAACACAACCTTTCCCTGGGGATCCACAAGTCTTGCGCCCTTGCTCTTTGAGAATCTCCATTCATAGTCAAGATTTGATGAGCCTAGTCGTTGGGTAGACAGGAGGTTGTGGGAGAGTTTGGGAACATAATAGGCATTGTTGTAATAAACATGTTGGAAGGAGAGTCGGCCAGAGTGGGTGGCAGTGATAATTTTGCCATTTCCGACTTCGATCTGAACTGGTCTGTTGAGAGGGGATAAGTTTGAGAGTAAGGTCTTATCATTGATGAAGGGGCTGGTAGCACCACTGTCAATGATGATGGTGCCGGTTGGAATAGTTGTGGAGGACATCGCCCTCTCCATTGCCCGTAGAGCGCCCTCCTTCACCCTTTCTTCCTCACTCTCATCCTCCTTTTCCAGCTGTTCTGCCTTCATTGCAGTCCTCAATTCCTGATCCTTCCTCTTCTTATACTCCGCCTCTGGCACCCAATCCTTAGGCTTGCTTCTACATTCCTCGGTAGTATGGGAGGAGGCTCCAGTGTGGTATTTGCACCGTTTGAGGGATGCCTTCGAGTGGTGAGCCCGGTTGGTTGAGGATTTGGTCTTTGAAACCATGAGACCATGTTCATTGACAGTCTCACCCTGTGTCTCTCTTCGTCGATACTCTTCAGCAACTCGGTCAATGACTTCATCAAGTGTGATCTTGTTTGAGCCGCCAGAGTGGAATGTGGAAGCGAGGAGGCCGTATGATGATGGGAGTCGACAAATGGCAGCATGAGCACCAATTTGATCGGCAAATTGGGAGACAGTGAGAGCGGAAGTGAGGGCCGAAGCTGTAATCTCAGCAAGTTGAGATCGGAGGGTGGTGAGGTGAGGCTCAGGATCCTCATTTTCCGGCAGACTATCCCCAAACACTGCGCTCCACAGCTCTGCTTGACGGGCGCCTGTGTTGGCGCCATATTTGTCCTTGAGATATTGATATAGTCGCTGAGGATCAGGGTTGTCAAACAAAAATTCGGCTTCAGATAGTTTGTTTTGTACTGTTTCGGTGAGACTCCCGTAGAGTGTCGCAAGAGCTGTTGCTTGTTCCCTTTCGTGGTCATATAGGGCAACCGCTCGCTTTGACTGTTCGGTGGCTGTGGGAGAAGATGACATGGGATATCGAGATTCAACAAGTTTAATGAGAGTTTTCTCATCCTTCAATACATGTTGAAGAAGACCGTTTGCACCAAGGACAACTTGTACTTCTCTGTCCCACAGGGCAAAGTTGTCGCGCCCATTGAGCTTGCGCTCTTCTTTCACTGAGAGTTGTGTAGACATGGTTTGGAATCACTCTGTGCTAGCGGTGTATAGGAAAGGTCGCTGGTATTGTTCAAGAGGTGACAAGTTCAAGCGAGGGAGACGTTACCACGACGGAATTCGATGAGATCAATCTGGTCTCCTTGATTTCCGTTACCTGTTACCTGCTCAGGACTTATTGAGAGTGATGCATACTAAAGAACTCACCTGTTACCTGCTCAGCACTTATTGAGAGTGATGAGCAGGAAACAGGTCACAAACTAACTATCTACTGATCATCGGAGTTACCACAAGTCTCGGATATACGAGTGTGGCTATGTGACTGTACCCTACCAATTCCGTCGATGTGTAGAGGGATGTTGCAGGCTGTGAGAAGGTCATAGAGCAATCCTCCACTCAGATGTCTCTAGCCTGTCTGGAGCTCTGTTCAAGCCTCACGTTCGTAGCTAGCAATATTCACCGAGTGGTTCTTGGACTTTTGAAGATGCAGTCCGAAGCTCACAAACTCTCCGTGACCTGAGACTTCGCAGAATCTAGGCCTCCCATTGGAGAGGGAACTTTACGAATGGTGCATCCGAGGACAATCGGGTCTTTCCCTTCCTGATCCTGGCAAACATTTTCTTCTCAGTGGTGTAGGATCCACTTTCTCAGAGCTTGCATCGGGATGATTTTGCACTTAACTGACCTACCGAGATTTTGTGCAAACGTGGCATCACGATTGCAATGAGCTTTGTACCTCTAGCCAAACGACTTGAGGAACTAGAACATCCTTGGAAATTGACAGCTCGCGAAGCGCCAGACCGCTTTCTATCACAGCTTGTCCTGGAACGATGTAATATTCTTGCACAGCACTCAAGAGAGCAGGAGGGCATGTGTCTTACGCATCAATCCAGCGGTCAACCGGTGGCTGGACCATCCCTGACTCTACCATACAGCACACAACAAGGGCCAGCCATCAGCCGGACATCCTCGCCAACGGAATCGATCAGCACGTATACAGAGTCTGATTTTGATATGGTTGACCAATCGCTGATTGATACAGACATGACGCCTCTACCATTGGCATCGCCGATGCCTGGCCGTAGCGGTGGCATCAGGTTGAGATTCCCGCTACTTGACTTTCATGATGGAATGCAGAATGTATCTGGTCAAGAGTGTACACCATTTACCTGGTTCGTGTTGGCATCGCAAAGCCATTTTCCAACTTCTCAGAAATCAATACATGGATGCCGTGTTCGAGAGTACCATTGCATGTACAAGCATGGGTGAAATATGTACAGGACATGATACTGGAAGAAATGGTCATTGGAATACCTTGAGGGGAAATGTGATGGGAAGTTCAGTAGGCGTGTAGCTGTTCGTGTACCCAGTTTGGTGCAATCCGTAGGTTCGGATGACAGCATTGATACTATGCATATCTGAGACCTGTAATCATTGATGTGCTCCCTGAGAACTACAGTCACAAACATATGTTGCTCAGGACCAGGATGAACGCCACATTGGTATTCAGAGATTCATCAAGTCCGTAAGAGGACTGCGTCGTAGTCGGATTGACACGAAGTGCTGACCAGGAGGAGCTTGCGTGGGTGGGCCCTTGATCAGAGTGCGACGCTTACAAGTTCCAGTGGATCATCCGAGACAGGTCTGGAGCGGTCTGGATCTTGCGCACGTAGCCACATAAACCTGTGAAAGCGTCTCACACTCCGTCAAATTTTGATCCGTCCCGCCAAGCAGCATGGCTTGCGTATGTTATAGCCCTCATAAATGGGGAAGCTTGTGTGGTGTCTTCCTCTGATAGGTGAGTGGATAAACCAGGACCCCAGTGTAATATAAAGTTCATTCTGTCCCCATGCTCCCAATACGTGCCCAAGTCATCACATCTGTCAAGATGCCCACACCAAGATCCATAGAGGAGACCATAGAACTGTTCCTCCTCGTTCCTGACGCTACAGAGGCTACACTTCGACTCCGTACACTACACGACACAACCGCAATAATGATACCCCCTTGGAATTCCCTTTGCCGGAAGGATCCACCTGTCACCAGGACTACAACTGCTGCATGGCTCATGTTATGTGGTCTTCTGGCTGAGAAACATGTGCAGCACAAGAGGCTGTCTGGTATTTTAGTCAGTGGCATCTCAGATGATCACTTGGCACAGGTTATAAAGTACAATTCCTCACTCTCCAAGCTGAGCCTGCATGGTGATCCCCAACGGAATGGTCCACTTTCCATCTGGACTAAATGGCTCAATACTATATTCTCAAAGGTAGGTGAAGGTAAAACCCTACCAACTGAGATGCTCAAACAGCTCTGGACTCCACTACAAGCTTTGTGTGATACCGGGTTGGAGCGAATAAGGCAGCATCCAATTCTGAGCAGTCACTTTGAGAATGCCTTTATGCTAATGGGAACAAGCAGCAGGCATTCTGGAGTCTACCTTGAGATCTTGTATAACCAGAGAGAAGGAATCTTGCAAACAGAATTTCCGGTAGAGACAGAGACAGTCAGTGACTGAGAAAGAGCATGGATTCTAACATGTAATCTTCTTAGTCTATCTAAGTATTCATTAGACAAGAATCTGTCCTACTGAGTCATCTGCTCAAATTTATCAAGAGCACCAAAGGAGCTCCTATCTGCAGAAACTTACGTGACAACACCATCTCCACAGATAGAGTCACCGAGTGCAGGAGGTGCCGCAGGTGACTAGTCAACCCCCTCAGAATCTGTCCCGGCTTCAGAGGAGACACTGGAGTGCATGGTATGTGTATTAAAGCGCTCCACTAGTTTCTCAAAACCCTGCTGTCAGCTTATATGTACGTAGGGGGAGTATATATGAACGTCAGGGTGGACAATGCTCGACACAATGTTCCGCGGGCTGACCCCCAACGATTTTCGCCCCTCCAGTCTATCGACCATATTTGGGAATCTTCGTTCCCCAATGACAAGGAAGTATGACAATCAGAGTTACATGGATTGACGGTGCAACGGACTAAGTGAAGGTCAAGTGGAGCTTGCACTGCAGTCTATTGATTGTTCCAATGGGCAGGAGTAATCCTTGTCACAAGACTTTCCAGAGCACAGTAGTAGTCTGTAGACTCAATGAAGGTGACCTCCTCAGGATACCAATATTGTACACTTTTATTTATACTATCAAGCTATACATACACTGCTGTACCGTGACTGTTGGATACTTGAGGAACTTGCAGGATGATCTTTCTTCATACCCAGTCTCAGGAACCCGTGTATAGTCAATCCTCTATGAGAAAATCACAGCCTGTGCCATAGTTGAATGTCATCGTGAACTCGCATACAGTAGTAACATTGGAGTCCCCAAGCTCGTTGTGTCTCGCCGTAGAGAATCGACCAAGAATTTAGATCCGGCCGACTCATGTTCGGTGGTTCAACTTTCGAGCGGGGTTCACCACCGATTCATCTCCGACTGTCAAGTAACAGAGGGAGAACTGAGTACTTATGCTCACCCTTCTTCTTCTTCCTCTGATCCAAATAACCAGTGGCAAATCTTGCACTTCCACCCCTGATTATTTAACGCTGTACTAAAGCTAATGGCACACAAACCATCAACAACCCTGAGCAATATGTCAAATGTGAATAACCAGCAAGTTGACCTTACCACACCCCTTGAGACCGGACGAACTACAGCGGTGTATCTCTCAGAGTTGTACTGTACTTCTCGCTACATGATAGACATCTGGGCTAATGTGAAGAACGCTTTAACCGAGGATCCCAACAGTATATCATCAGAAGCTCTTACAAATGCATTGGAGCTGTGTGGTTGTTTAGCAAGGATCCATGGAGCCCTCGACTTTGCCTGTGGTAGCATACGGGGCTCACAGGAGGGAACAACCTTTGCTCCGTCCGTAGCAATCACCTCACTGCCTTCCTGTAAGACCGTGTCAGTTGGAGAAGACATCTCCGAATATATTACAAGTGCCAACAAACTCTTCTCAGCCTTGAAGAGACTTCAAGCGTCAGGCCAGTGCTCAGATGTTCATAAAATCCAGACGCTCATGTTTCGTTTGCGTCCACCCATGACACGTATGTGCAAGGGAACCTTCAGTGTCATCACGCAGGTCCCAGTTGTCCAAAGACACAAAGAGCAGTATGAGGGACACGTGAGGGAGGATCTGGAATCACACACGTCGCCTGGCTCATTTGTGACGCCGGGTTTAAAGTGGCTGTTCAACAACAGGACGAGGATTTTGGAAGGTCGTCAACTCCTGATTGCACCCAAGACATTACCAACTGATTGCCCTACCTGTAACGACCTTTGTTCATTGGAGAGAATCAAGAGAACAACAGACATGTGGTGCTAAGTTAGAGGTAAAAAGCTCATTAGAGGGTTTTTCCAATTCTGATAGGGTGGAGGAGAAAGGTTGCAGAGAGAAGGAAGGTGAATATGGTAAGGATGGGTACACCTCATTTGAGATTTCTCCCTCTGTATTTGCTCAAAAAGGTTTTCTGTACATCCAAATAGGTAGGCAGCCGCTACAAGGCAGAGTAAGAGAGTAATTTGTATTTGAATATAGGGATGTACTGTATAAAGCACTTAACATTGATTCAAAAAAATTGTGAACTTTGCTAGTTATTTGCTCTCATTGATGCTTTATTTTCTTGCAAAGAGGGTATGTTAGGTGCCGTACGGAAGACGTGTCACTTCAAAGCTGCAGGGGTCCTGAGACCCCATTACATGCGAGACTGAAGATACATCCCACTTCAAAGCTGCACAGGTTGAAGTCATGACACTTCAAAGAGTCACATCTTCTGGGTCATGCAGCTCAGAAGATTTGAAGTTTCTCAATCACCACAGGCTGAGACTGACTGTAGATCAAGCATATGATACTTGAAAGTGAGTATAAGGAGACTACCACAAGAGATCTGGCAAATACATGCATGGGAGGAAGAAAATTGATGCAGGAACCTTCATCTTGTGCATTGAAAAGAGCAAGCATCTGATAAGCTACTCCCTCCTTTTTTTGACAGAGAACAGATGAGGCCCATCTGATTACAGCTGTAAAGGTCTTTTGGACCTGGAAGTGTTTCCCATGAAATGTTGATCCTTCTTCTGTGGGTCACATCTTCAGTCTGGCACACTCAGACCCATGACACTTCAAAGTGGCACATCTTCTGTGCGGCACCTAACAGGTATAATCCCGGGCGTAGCACGGTATATAACGGGCTCTTTCCCAGACGTTCCTGGAAAAAAAGGAGCAAACTCCGCGGTATTATGCTTGGTGGCGATGGGAGATACTATGCAACAGTCTAGGTTTTCCCGGGCGTAGCTCGGTATATAACGGGCTCTTTCCCAGACGTTCCTGGAAAAAAAGGAGCAAACTCCGAGGGATTTTCTAGTGTGGCACTTCCTTCAAACTCATAGTCCTACCTGTTTGCATGCTTGCCTCACAATCACCAGGTCAGTGGTTCGACTCCCACACCTCGCAGAAGGGACAGACAGGTGGTGAGGATGTTGTAATGGTACTGGAAACACAACAACTCTCTCGCAGGTTGGGTTGAACTCAATAGATCTCATTAGACATGGCAAGATGTGGATGTATGTGGTGTGATGTCCTCCTCTATGAAGATGGCCAAATAGATGTATCAAAAAGTCAGCAAAGTGGATAAAGTACAAGATCCTCAATGACAATTGTTGACGCCCTACTACATAGTAGGTAGTTTCACCTTGAGAATCACACATACAAGCTCTGTTACGGATCAGTTTGCTATCTCACTGTCACGAGACCCACTAACCAGCATTGGCACAATATAACAGTGCCCAGCGGAACAGTGCTCTAAACCACTGTGATGAAAAAGCTTATTGATCGGCGGTTAACTCTACCGCTGATTGCTGCTTAAATACCCTTTCCCGACTTTTGCTCGACTTGTCACATCCTTTGTGACACTCACTGTCACCACTCTGCTGTCACGACTCAGTTGACAGACCTTTGGCTAACTTTGTGCTTCCAGGGTGTCACGACTGTTGTACAACTTCTTTCTATCAGACCAATGGTCGACAACCTGAGCTAACATTGTACTTTCAGGAATCATTGTTTCAACCAACAATACAGTGGCACCATCAAAAAGGGTGCTACTACAACATACTTTGGCAACATTGCTCTGTCTGTGGGTTTTACTGCTGCGGATGTTTTTCAATGTAGGTGTAGCTGTCTCTATCTTTCTTCTACTACTGACAACTATCAAGGATGGCTCAAATTTGTCAGCAATCTTCTCAGCTACTAATATGTACTTCTCCTGGATAATTGTTCTACCCTCTTACGCTCAGGCCTACTTTGACGCATTTTGGCCTACATCCCCAAATGCCCGTCCGTTGTTTGCTTCCTCAAGAACCTAGGGAGTATTAGTAACAACAACCCTGCCTAGCGGAGAAGTGCGGCAAAGTTTGGAGAAGGAGATCAAGCAATGCAGGGTGGAGAGTGGAAGTAAGTGGAAGCAAGGCGAACTGCAGCGAAGTGAGCAGCGGATGCGAGGTATGGCAAAGTTGGATGAAGGAGGACTGTGTCACAGGGTTGATTTGGTTTACTTCTCAAGACCAACGGCCAATAGCTTTGTGGGCTGTGACCTTCAATGGTTTTGCTCTTTGAGATATGAATTAGGTGACAATAACTTCCGGGGTGTAATAACTTCGTGCTTCACCAACTTCTATCACTAAGACAACAACCAGAGATCGTCAAAGATCTCTGGGAACTTTGGCCCTTAAGTACTTTGTTCCTCCCTAACTTTGCCAACGCAGAACTTCGTTCAACCCAAAGCCCCGAGCTTCGTACCTCGCAAACTTTGCCCCTAACAAAGTTTATGCCTCCCTAACTTTGTATCTCCTTAACCTTGCATCTCCCCAACCTTGCATCCTCCTAACTTCCTACATGACTAACTTTGTCAGGCCTCCTAATACCCTCATGGGTGGTGAAGTTCATGAGAACAGGATCGTTGACAGCAAACTGATGTCCAAAGGAACTTTGTTTGATGGGAAAGGAGGAGGTGACACAGCGCTGCGTGACAGACTAAATGCGGGGCAGTGCAGGAGTTGAGAGACATTCTATGAGAGGAGCAGAGAGGTATAGATAGTTCACAAGATTGCTGAACTTCTTTACCAATCCTTGATTGTTGTGAGCAAGAGATATATCCAACAGGTACAACCAACGAGTTAGGGAGAGCTACCACCAAGCAGTTCGACGTACCACGGGGAAGATCATCTTATTGTTAACCACTTGGCACATTACTACGGCGTAGTTAGCCGTGGTTCCCCAACAACTATCCTGTCTCTGTGAGACATTGACACCCCAGTACAACTTAGTTCGCCAAGGTTTGTCGACCATGGGTCAGTAGAGGAGAAGAAACAATGACTGTGACAAACATGTTCTGGTTGATAGGTCTTACAGGGAAACAATGAATCGAGAGAACCCCATCGAGTTTGACGGATTAGGATGGAGGAAAGCGGGAGTTGGAGGCAGGCTGCATTAGGTAGGGACGGGTTTTCCCCTTTTTGAGATTTCCCCACTGGGTTTGCTCAAAGCGGTTTTTCACCTGTCTGAGTATGTACGTAGACGCTTGCAGCAGGGAGAGGACAAGGACAAGGATACCATAGACAGTATATAGTACAATCAGCAAAGTACCAACTTTGCTGATTCTTCAATATCATTCTTTGGCTACATCGATTGCAGAGGAGACACGATCCATTAGCACCAGAGACCCCTAGACTTCTACGAGACTTCCATCAAGTTCTACCAAACCTGCGACTTAGTCATCGTGTTTCCAGTACCGTTACAATAGGCGCGCGACCGGTCACATCGACATCTCTTCTGTCGATCTACCTAGTCTATCTATGATAGTTCTTGTACGGTTTTACCATTGTTGTAAACTCATCTCTCCTTTACCATGCACTGCTCCAATGCTGCACGCCGAAAGTGTAAAGCACCATCACCTGACGACCTGTCCATCCAACACTTTCTCAAGAGTACCACAGGCCCAACCGCTGGTCAAGTCCTGAAGACATGCTGTTTCTGCCGCAACAAACCCCCTGTACCTCCAGCCACACCTCAACACTGTACACCTCCCCAGCTATGTCCGCTTTGCGGCTCGACCCTTGATACTCCTGCCTTCCGTGACAATCGTGGGCGGCTCAGACATACCTGCTTGTCTTGCCAAGATGATAATGCTCCAACCAACAATCAGTCCAAAAAAAGGCATCCTCCACCACATGGTACTCCCTCTGATACATCCGGCCTCACCCCTCAATCTTCCCGAGCTGCTGCTCGTCCGCGGACTCGCCCACCCACACCCCCTTCACCCACACCTCTGCGTCCCAGTTCACTACCTCCACAACGACCACCACGTTCCCGCAGACCTCCCCAACGCTTTGTGACCCCTCCTCCAGCACCTCCCCAGCCTGTCCCTCCTCCCCAAGTGCGTGTGAGACCCAATGCCAACCGTTCAAAATGCACCCATTGTCGTCACTGGCAGGACAACAGCTGTTATGATATGGACCCGAATGGACATAGACACCGGACGTGCCGTACATGTTTACAGCGTAATCGAGAACGATATCAAGCAAGGCAGCAGATCTATTCACCCGAGCCATCCTACGCAACAGACCCCTCCCCCTTCCTTCCCATCAGTGCCTCCTTAGACGACAATCACCTACATAATACATGTTTATCAGATACGGCAATTTCTCAGAAGTATAGGTTGAGAGGGGTGTTAGGCAGTGTCAACTCCACTTGCCTTCATCACTCTCAAAAGAAGCTTACCTTCGGATCATGGATTTCCCCCATCTGAAAACATATTACTCAGCCTTCCCTCTCACTTACAACACTGCATGGGGTTAAAAGGGGGAATAGTATCTTCATTTTTTCCCAACTGCTACCTACAACAACCTCTTCAAACAAGCATCATAGCATGAACCGTTGGAACCCTCTCAGGCTTATTTCCACTTCCGGAACACCCCAGACTATTACTGATGATGGCTCCTCCCAAATAGTGATAAATGGACAGTTGCAAGCACCTTCAACACAGACCGCGGACAATGAGGACTGGACATGGCTTGAAACATTGTCCCCAGTAGGGTCCGCCAAGCCGCTACACTCATTGGGAGTGACCAATGTGAAACCCACTGTGGTTGTGCACAATGGTGGTGGAGAAAGAAACCCTGACTCTACTGAAGATGGACGGGTTATGGCTTCTATTGCGCTGGTGGAAAGTGCTGCGCTACAAGAGCCCGACTTCGAAACGGCAACTAAGGTGTTGTCCGAATCCGTTCGAGCACCGGTCGAATCCATTGTGGGACAGAGCAATCACTCGTGTGATGACAAGCGTTCTACCGTCACTGTAGGGCTCTCCAAACCCATTTTGACCTCTAAACCTCAGCCAACCCAAGAGACATGTTTGCATGGCAATGCGGTGCAGGCCGAATCCATTGGGGAACAGAACCGTGACACAGTGGGAGCTGATGATGTGAACCCCAAAGAGGTGCCGGTGGAAGACGTTTCTGAGGCACCTGTCTCAATCCAAGATGCTTTTCGGATGACAACTGGGGTGTCAGTTGAACACACTGCAGATGAAGTCTTGTACACAAGGGCAGCTGCTTTTGTAAAGGCAACTGAGATGTTGGTAGACAATCTTGAGAGAATCGCAGTCCTGTCAGTAGTTGGGGTGGATAAAACGACCAACCAGGAAGCACACCGAATCCTTGAGCTCTATGAAGCTCTGGTCCGCAATGATCATCACGTGGACAGCACCTGTACTACAGCAATGGCTCTACATAGTCCAGGGACAGAAGTCACAAGGTCCAAATGTGTTATCCCCAGTGACTTGCCAGAGAAGATCAATGTGCCCTAGGAGGGACTCTCTCATCCTGTCTCCATATTGATGGAACAGACATCTTTGTTCCTGAGCCATGCGCACAGCGGTGACCTCAATGATACACTTGCTGCCTTGAAACACCTCCACTCTGAAGATGAGGCCTCACACATCCGCTCATTGTGGACTGATTCATACGCCCGTGGACAAGCACACATGGCGCTTTCTGAAGAGCACTACAGACTGTATGGGACCCCTAAGCCCCAGGTGATAAGAGCCATTGCAAGCAGACGGGCAGAAATTGCTTCAAAGGTTGACAAAGTAACGGTTTCTTTCCAAGTAACCTGAGACATGGGACCAACCGTGCTGGTGCCAAGCATTATCCTCTACATCTGGGTGACAACTTAGTGCAAGGGGAACAAGGCTCTCACATCACTTTTGACATCATGGTCCCAGCGAAGGTTCAGGTAAAATTAGTAATTGAGTAGAAGAGATGACATGGAATGATGTTCGGTGAAAGACTCTGATGTGCTGACAGACCATGCTCTGTCAGAACCTATATGAAGGCTATATCTGTAATTGTTAACAAGTCCGCCTTGCTCTCTTTCCCTAGTCAGGCGAGAGCACAATCCCTCACCGTTGGAGATCTACTCGGTATAGCAACCGCACACAGGGGTAGAGTTAGGACCACGACGGTTTGTCTCTCACGGACGGAGAATACCTCTCCGACCTGTGCCATCATGGTCAAAGTGACTGGTCAAGTGCCACATGCCACATACGACCTGAGAGTTTTGCCATCCGATCTCGTACCGACCCGGAAGCCGTTAACGCCGATATCTCCGGCTCGATGACCAAAGCATCACCACCATCTCACCTCGATTAAGTACTTGAATCACTTTCCGCTGTCAACCCCTCATTCATCACCCATGTCGTATCTACTGGGCAGAATACTGGCAGGTGTTGCTTGCGTAGCGTTGTTCCATTGTGAGTACTAGTTGTCTCTGTTTTAAGTTTTGTCTTCGCTGACATCAAGCCGCGTTCTCCACCTATGAATGTGAGGTTCAGCGCCTGGGTCAGATCCCAATGGCGTAACAAGCTGACTTTCGTAGATTTGTCCATCTTGAAGACTTTATCAAACGATAATGTATCGCTTCCCCGATCTCTCGTTGTGGAGGTCATCGGAGCTCTGGGATTATTCTTGGTAGGTACAGCATTGGGTACGGCAGAGTTGAAAGATGTGACGTTTCGCGGCGAGCTGGCAAGGCGGTGGGTCATTCTTTCCCCGTTTTCCTTATCCACTTTATCGCTCTTCGACCGTCATGATTCTTTATCTCTAGTCTATCGATTCAGACAACTTCATTCTCTCCTGATACCTGACAAAGAACTATTGGCTGATCGGTAAGAGATACGGAAGATTATGATCCTCAAATGGCTTTTACAATTCTATCGCCTCGTGCTAAACCCCTATTTCAAAACTCTCCTCACCCTTTCATTGAAACTAGATGATGTAGATGTATATCATGTATTCTCATGCTTCCGTTCAAACTCGATATCCTTTCTCTTCGTTCGATTTGTCATTCATCCAAAGCAAATATCACCTTCTCGGCCGACGCACTCTTATCTCTCACTTCTTCTCCGTTCACACCTTATCCTCCATCTCCGATCATTCGCTCGTCTTACCGTCGAACTACGGGCAATCCCTTCACGATCCATCCTTTCACGCACGATTCTCACGCATCGCCCCGACCCGCCACGCTCCACATTGTCCCGCCGCGACTCTCCGCACGCGCGAACAAGATATAAGCTCATCCTCATCTCTCAACTTGATACAAACATTTCCTTCCTTCCCCGGAAGATATCTAGATACCCCTAAGCTCATAACTCTTCAACACTCTCATCCTGATGGACACAATGACCACAGATGTTGGGGTTTCAACTGTGCAACTATTACTGCGTGAACTATGTATTCTCAGTTTTGCTAGTGAGATGGTAATGAAGCTATTACAGAAAAGGAGCGACTTCTGCTGTTATGATCTCAAATCCATAACTTCAGCAAGAAAACAACTTGACTGTTCCATCAAAAGTCTAAATACGCTTATCCCAAGCTTTACTGGCAATGTTGCTGAGGTTTCCGTGGGTCAAACTTCCTCTAGTGGAAAGAGCCGGGTGGTGGATGCAGTGCAACACTTCCCAACCACATGTGGAATATGCTTGGACTACGGATTTGGACCCTGTGAAGAAGAGATAGCTGAACTGAAGGCGCTTACTCGACACATTGAGGCTGCACAAACGACTTTATTAGGCTTGGCCACTGACAAAGACCGGATGGGATATGTGGGGTGGATTGTCCAGCAGGGGGTAGACAGAGCAGTTGACAGCAGCAAGAATCTGGTTGAATTAGAGACCATGTTGGATGACTTTGGCAGACTCAGACAGCAGGCCCTGAATGCAGCCCAGACGGGACAGACATTGAAACTCTGACATCCGGGCAAGTGTCCAGCAGCTGGTGAAATCCTGTCAAATTGTCATAGTGTGCACAGAAAGAGTGACCAGTGTGGCTTTACCTTAGGTGAACGTCTCATGCACGTGAGTGATGGGTTTCCATGTACTGGTACAAGTTTTGAATGAGAATCAGGCAAAATGGTGAAGAACATCCCCCCCTGATTGTTCGTGAGGACCTGCGAAATCAGGTCGAATTCATATGTTATCCCGTGAGGAACGGCTTCACAGGCTCCCTCAAACACACACACAATGATGTTTGTGCTTCAATTTTTGTTCAGACACATGGGAGGATCATGGTTTGTGTGAACCACCTTTATCATTACATACATAACAGAGTTATCACTCTTAATGATACTCACCATCGCCATGAGTTACCGAATTGACAGATCATCCGACGGAAGACGTGGCAAGTTATCCTCTGGTTTACCGGTATGATACACCACTTTAAAAGCCGAGTGAATGTATGACTTGTAGGAGAAGCATAAATGTAAGATCTATTAACTGGTATAATTCGTTCCCCTGATGTCTCGAGAGGACATTGTTACGAGACAGAAATGTCGCCTAAGAAAGAGCCGTTGTTTGTTGATACTTCATATTGCGTATGAATCACTGGCTCGATCATCATTCACGTACATAACATTCCTTCCATCACCTATCTCTAAGTTCGGTTAGACATGGTAGACACGGTAGGCAGGGTATTATGGAAGTTAGAGAAGCAAATTGATCCAAATAATTACTAACACAACACACTGTACGGCCTACATAGCAGGAAGGTGTTGACCAAGGATGACGTCTGTAAAACCACACAGTTCTCTTCTTGATGATCAGGACCAGAACTCAACTGTCACACAAAACCAACCACGAGAGGAGTGTGAAAGTGTGCCGTCATGTGCGCCCGGCTCTGCCGCCACAACCCATTTCTAAATCGTCCTGACTATGATTGTGAAGTGCTCTGACAGTTTCACAACAGTTCTTCATGTCAAACCTGTATGTCGCGTTCACGACACGACAAAATGGCGGTAGAAGAAGAGCCGGCTCTTCTCAAAATTGGACTTTCTCTTCGGAGGGTGAATTTTTGTTTTCCGCGCACGGTCCTTTCTTCTTCCTTGAAGCAGTGCAGAAGTATGGGTTAGAGGATGTAAGCAGGGAATGGATCCTTCAATCTTCCACTTTAACATCCCTGACCAAATACAACATGAGTGAAAGTGAACGATGGACTGAGACAGTCCTGGACAATATCATCTGGGACCCTGTGAGTGACTGAAGAGGTAATGAGAGATATCTTTTGACCCTGCTTATGAGAGATGAGACCTAAGAGAGGAGGCAGAACTGCCATGGGATTTGTCAATAGAACAGACTGACAACTAGGAGAAATACGTTGTTTTCGGAGACTTTAAAGATCACGATGAGCCTAGAGTTGGGATTGTACGCAAGGTGAGTTTGATCTACTTGTCGGGAAACGTACAGTACACATTCTTGTATATGCTACTATATCCAATTGTCCGTTCGGCTGTCAATCGTGACTAGGGCCTGTGCCATGGGCGCTATCCCCATGTGTGCGGAGAACTGGCTTCAGAAGGCTGGAAAACATGGCATTGCCTGGTGGTTGATTTCCTGCAGGCAACGATGGACCAGGAAACTCAAGAGAATCCTGCAGGAGCCGGGCCGGATGATGAAGGCCCCCGTGACTTAACTCTTTTGATGCTTCCATTAGAACAAGTGAGAGCTACTTTTCTTCCTATTCTCATGTCTCACCATGCTGATGCAGACCCCGCAAGGTGATGCCCTTCTGGGTCATCCTTGATTTTGATGCTTCTTGATTTGCTTCACCTTCAAGACCTTTTACTGACTCAGCAGAATAAGGCCGCCGTTAAAAACCGCTGGCGGAATGCACTTCGCACTCTGGATTCGGATGCTACGCACGTCTACCAATTAATTTCAGGGCATTTCGGAAGGTCTAAAGATCGTGAATCAATGGGTGTAGCGGATCTCGAGATAGAGAAAGCAAGATTAAAAGTACTCGAGAGTTTTGCTCAAGTGACCCGCTCGCTTGCGGACACGCGCTTAGAGCAGAACGAGGTCGAATCCATGACCAACATGGCGTCTCAAACACACACCTGTGAGGAACCCTTTCGTCTAGAGGAGCTATCCCAGAATACGGAAGAGGTAGTTGCCAACTTGAGAGATGTTGATAATCTTAGGCAATCACTGATCACATTATCAAGGAGGATTGGTATGTTGTGGGGAATGTGGGAGAGAAGTAGGAGTATAGCTTCAAGAGTCTTTCCTGAGGTGTCAACTCCTACCATTGAAGAGTAGTATGAAGGGTTGTATGAACAGTTGGCAGTAGAGTCTGTCTTGCTGTCAATGAACACTGTTGAGCAGTAGGACAACTGTGAGGGAGAAGCTTGGCCACATTGTGTCCATATGTGAGAAGAGTACTCGTCTTCACCAGGCAACGGAACGACCACCGACCGGAACATCTTTCCACCACTAGCGGAAAGGGTTTTTAGACCGAAAATTTCATCTCACATGCATCCCCTGCCTATGAATACCTCAGATAACTGTAGAGGGACCTGCAGAGCACTCTCTGAATGTAGTAGAAGCATGCTGCTTACCTTTGGAACTACCATTCTCAGCCGCTGTCTTCTTTTTCTTCCTTGCTTCCTGCTCCGCTTTTTTACGTTCCGCAAGCTCCTCTGCATTCTGCTCCTGATACTCGGGTCAAAAACCTCACCATCTTTGTAGATAGCACGCTTTCTACTCCCCCTAAGCCTCTTTGTCCAACTGCATTGCTGCTTGCATATCCGCAATCTCCCTATCCTTGAAAGCTGACTCCGCTAAACTCTCTTCTAATTTCTTCCTTGCCTTTTCAAATGCCCTGGTAGGGCTGAGAATACCTTGACGAATGAGGGATGAGTATTTCCGGAGGCGCTGGTGGTTTTGAGGGGTTTCAAGATCCGGTGATAGTGAAGAACCATGTGGAGGAGGAGTTGTTGGACCTTGAGGGATAGGGGGATCGACTGCTCCCATGACATCCGCATCAAGTGGCCATAGACCTGCTTTTCTCCACGCCGCCTTGATCTACTCATCTCGCAGTGTTTCCCTCCACGCTACTTGATGCCAACCCCAGAACATCCCCTTAGCTACTCGTGAGAGAGAGCTACCTCGTTGATAAGCGTCCATCTGATTGAAGAAAATGTGCTTGACATGATTGAAGAAATCCACATCCAACGGTTGAAATTCTCCAGTCATTCCAGCAGGAAAGATGATAATGACTATGTTTCTAGCCCAGCAGGCTTCAAGGAACTCGACTTTCACATGTGGATCGGCTCCATCAAGGAAAAGAAGATGTCGACAGCCTGAGGGGACATGATCACAGGTTGCCGAATCAAAGACGTCGGTCAGCCACTTGAGACAAATGTATGAGTTACTCCAGCCTGATAGTGTCACCATTCCCTTCTGTACCACATCCGGCTCCCTGACTCTTGTCCATGCTGGTAGAACTTGCCCTTTTCCTTGATAGATGATCATTGGTGGGACTTGAGGGGCGTAGATATCGATACCAATACAAGCAATAGTGGTGATATGTTCACTATTCGGTCCAATTGCTTGTTTGTTACGTTTATGTCCTCAAGGGGTTACACGACGGATTTTGCGTTCATATGATAGATCAAATCCGCACTCATCCATATTGAACATGCATTGTGGGGGATAGAGTCCTGAATCAACCACACGCTTAACCTATGATAGGTCAGCGGAGCTACAAACTCGTTTTGTGTAGACAGAGCTGATGCCAAAAGCATTCATCGACTCACTAGTGAATACCAAGCTTTCCTTGTCTGTGGATTGTCCGCCCGAAGTCTTGAAAGCTCTTGATACGAGTTAAATTGTGACGAGAGGTGGTTTCGGTTGCGATGGAGGAAGCGAGAGGTCCAGTTTTGACCAAGTGACCGTCCTGCAGCGGCTTCTGCTAGTTCTCTGACAAGTTGGGGAGTAAGAAGAGTTCCACGATCTGCATAGTTGTTGATTTTGAGGACAAGTTTGGCTTCTTGGGCAATGGAAAGGGCTCGAGCAACATTAACACCTCGGCGGGAATGAACACCTTCGTAGCGATTGTAGAGGGTGGTTTTGGGGACATTGTAGCGCAGTGAGATACTGGCAAAGCTCTCAGAGGGATGCTTTTTCTTATAGAGGGATGCGGCGCGCAGAAGATCAGGCATGTTTGAAGTAGATGAGAAGAAAGATGAGAAGAAATATCATTCATATTGGGAATCAAAGGACGTTCCGGTCGGTCGGCGTTCCGTTGCCTGGTGACCACGAGTACTATTCATGGGCCCACACAGGTGTCCAAATCATGGGTACCTAGAACGGGTTCCTCAGGGTCATACTCCCATTGACCGTTCCCGTCTCTGTCTTACGAATGGCGTGCGTCGGGCACGCAAATTGTCAGGACCAGACGTCGGGATAGTCTGCGTCGATGAGCTATGGCAATGAGGGCTTGTAGGGAACAAACCTAGTGATGTAGTGTATCGAAGAGATCTGTAAGATTGATGAGATGTACGTCAAATGATACAACTAGGAAAACACAAAATACATTTGACAAGACATTTCTGAGAGAAAGCCTACATCTATATACTAAAAAGGGAGCGGGGTGATACCAATCTGGAGTATATGTGGTTCAAAATGATGTTGAGGTAGAATAACAGAGGAGTGGAGCTAACGAAGACAGAGACAGAGATGTAAAAAAGGGAAGTGGAGTCCAACGATTGGTACCAGGTGTGGTACCAGACGGACTGAGCCCAATTGCGGGAATGAGAGACAGAAACGGGAGCAGAATATGAAGTACGACTACTGGATCAGGTACCCACGATCCTGACACAAATGCTATGGGGATAAACGTGGATTCAATTTGCCAGCAACCGTGGATAGAGATTCCCAGCAGCTGATAAGTCTATTACAATCTGCCACCATAGTTGCAAGTCAAGTGGTTGGATTCAGAGCGCTGTGCACCCTGGCATGCCTATGCTTCACCACTCTGGATGTGTCTCCAATGTAGGAGGGCCAAAGAGCGTGATAGTACATATGTTCAAACATGGTCTGGAATGCACTTGTCACAGTCTCTGTTTCTTCTCCTGTACTGACCGACGGTTGACAAATCTTGGCTAACTAACTTGTACTGGGGTGTTGATGTCTCAGAGAGACTGGGTACTCAGTGGGGAACTACGGCTAACTACGCCCGAGTAATACGTTGAGTGGTGAATAAGAAGGTGATTGTTAATGAACTATGGCTCACTTTACGTCACGGGCGGGGTCTAATCCCTAAAGGTTAAGTAAGGTGACTGAGATGGGGCTGTAATGCAATACTTGTCTCTGGCTTGTTGTCACAAACTACGTCGTGACACCTCAATAATTCCACCAGCAATGACCCTCCTTTGACCATCAAAACCCCTATCACGTCTTAACCTTGTCACCCCACACGTAACTTAGGACATCTGAGACCAAGTACGGCGAAGTTAGACGGAGTTAGGTGAACCAGGGACAATGGGAGCAGAAGTACCGCGAAGTTAGGCGGAGTTAGGTGAACTAGGGACAATGGGAGCAGAAGTGCGGCGATGTTAGGCGGAGGTAGGTGAACTAGGGACAATGGGAGCAGAAGTGCGGCAATGTTAGGCGGAGTTAGGTGAACTAGGGACAATGGGAATAGAAGTGCGGCGATGTTGGGCGGAGTTAGTCGAAGGACGGAGAAAGACGGCCGGGACTCGGGGAAGTTGGACAAAGTGCGTTGAAGTACGTCTAAGCGCAAGAGGGTTGGGTGAACATCTAGGAGGAGTAAATAATATTAGCTGAGAATATTGCTGAGGTTCTTCAGCAATCTTTGATTGCTGTCAGTAGTGAAAGTTTGATAGAGATACCTACATTCAAACCGAGATACATTGCCATCAGGGAAAAACCCCAGTTAAGGTAACTACGTCAAAGTACGCCGTAGTTACACTCCTTTCAACATCTGCACCCTCCTGGTTGGGTGAGACATAGACTTGAAGCGTCTAGTTAGCCGACGTTCGTCGAGCGTCGGTCTGTTAGAGAGTGTGACGTAATCTGTGGATCGCAGGAGGAAGTTGCTAGATGAACTTCAGCACAGAGAAAGCGATGCATGAGTGTACTTACCTAGATGAACTTCAGCACAGAGAAAGTGATGAAGAACATCTAGGTAGAAAGTTACAGGATGATACTTGGACGGAATTAGACGGACTAATAAATGTGGCGATATCGCACGGAACTGACGTATTCCAACAGAGTGGTTGTTCGACGCCCGTGACACTTGTAGAGCTTGAGGAGTATACAGAGGGTGACAGGGGAGTGAGAGCACAGCAAGATGTCAGGCTGGATCTGACTGGACTGACAAGTTGAGAATGAGATTCAACATGAGATTTATAGGCGGGAAACAACATGTTTGGAGGTGGTTCATATCCCCAGCAAAACAGGCTGAACTGCAAAACTACAACAATAAGCTATGGAAGAACTGCTAAATATGTTTGCAATTCTCTTCAAGAGAATTGGCAATCCTGACAAGTGAAACTCAGAACGGAGGCAACAGACCCAGGGGTCCAGGGGTAACCGTTTCAAGTTCATGGATGTATCAAGGAACAATAGACAGAGGACACAAGAGTCCAGGGGTAAGTTGTAGAGTGTACAGGGAGTACACCAGTGCATTGTCAGTGCCATCTTGTACATAGTTGTAATGATCCTGCTTGTGAGGATCACCACAAATAACTAAATGTAACCTACCCATTGGGCTGGATACTAAATTGGAACTCTGTGATGTGGGTAATACTAGTTGGCGATGATCAAAAGTCAGTAGGCGTAAGTGAAGAGTGTGTCAAGGAAACCAAAGAGGGTCTGAGAGAGGATGAAGGAAAAGGTGAGAAGGAGGAGGAAGAAGAAGTCAGAATGAAGAAGAGGATGGGGAATCTCTCTCTCAAGCCCTGTTTATATGCATATCAGGGTGTCTTAAACTTGATACGAGGTCGAATCGTCCTCGATTTGAGTAAAGGAGAAACTATGTAAGAGAAGGAGGGAAAACCATGTATGAGGACAGAAAAACCATGTGTGAGAATGGGGGATGTATCTGTTAGGGACCCAGCCGGAGACGGACCCCTCCGGAGCTGCACGGATCCGATCAGACCTGACCAGAGATGTTCCACTCCGGAGTGGTCTGACTCCTTCAGCAGACCCAGCCAGAGAAAAAGCAGGTTCCTAATGAGTTTATGAAGTAACAATGGCTAAATGAAATTGTTTCCGTATGCTTTAAACAAGCACATCCATCTGCAGTGATTTCCATGAGATTGACATGGTCTGTGAGCAGTTTGTCAATTTCTAACACCAATCATCAGCCCATGTCTTTCCGTGACAATACCAAACTTGAAGCAACTATTGAGATTGTCCTGCTTACACAATGCTCAGAGCCAACTCAGATAGACGGCTGGGAGGTTTGGTTACTAAATTGTCATTAGGAAGAAAAGAGTAGTTTGGAAAAACTCGGGTGAATAACTCAAGGGCGTGTGAATTACTCTGGGTGGGTCCGGACCCCTCCGGAGTGGCATGTTTCTCTGGCTGGGTCCCAAAGGGGTGGTTTGAACCATGCCACTCCGGAGCAGTCCGTCTCCGGCTGGGTCCTTAACATATCCCTGAATATGTGGTCCAAATATGAAGGAGAACAAAAGAAATAGTGAAGCACATATTGTGGTCTACACGGACATATGTTTGTATCATGAGTGAGAGACAGTAATGGACAGGATGAAAGGGTAAGAGGAGAGGAGGGAGGAGACAGCAGAAGATGCTATACTAGTACTCACAGACTCACAGACAGCAGTAGAACAGTGTCAAGGAAGCAAAAAGACACTGTCATAATCGTCAATTCTTCTTCTCTACTGACCGACAGTCGATGACCCTCGGCTAGCTACGTCGTCTTGGGGTGTCGATGTCTCACTGAGACAGGGTATTCGTCAAAGAACTACGCCTAACTACGCCGTAGTGATGCGTCGAGTGGTAAATAATAAGGTGATCGTCGATGAACTGCGGCTAATTTCGCCGTAGTGCGTCAAACTGCTAGGTGGTAGCTCTCCTTAACTCGAAGGTGGTAGCTACTGAATACATCTCTTGCTACTGACAACAATCAAGAATTGCTGAAGAAGTTCGGTGATCTGTAAACTATCTATACTTCTCCTCTCTTCTCATAGAACGTCCCTCAACTCCTGCACAGCCTTGCTGTCAGTCCTCTTTGCTCAACTTCACCGTACCTCGCCATATCCCCAATATCCTACTTTGCTCACTTCGACTAACTTTGCCTAACTTCCCCTACTCTGCTCTGCCTCCCTCGGTTCTCTTCTCCTAACTTCGCCGTAGTTCTCTGTTAGGCGGGGTTGTGGTGACTAATAATCCCTAGATTCCCGTGACTTCGTCGTAGTCGGTCTCAGTGGTTCGGGGTGGTGATGGATAGTGGTCCGGTGATGGTGAGAGGAGGGTCGGTGATGGTAGTTGTCAGGGATGTTACAACATGGTTTGTGACAGCCACATGATTGCTCTGTAAGAAGTTGGAAGAAGCAAAGGGCCAGAAGTAGGTGGGAATTAGTCGCAAAAGAGTCAGAAGAGTGTCAAAATGATCATTGAGACAAGTGGAGACCGTGTGTTACGACTCGAACCGGGCAGGCCTTGGGGCCAGCAATGAGTAGACGGCGGAAGTTGTAATCAGCGAGCTTGGGTTGTGTGGAGGCGAAGTTGCACAACCACTAGACTTGTGTGGTTGAAGATCGAAGGGCGTGGTCAAAGGGACGATGTGACCAAAGGTATGCTTGAAGGATCCCGAAATATTCCTGAGCGGAGCAAGGTAGACCAAAGATGTATGTCAAGACTATGGAAGGCCTATGGAAGACTATTGTAACTAAATGTAACTTATGATAGATTGATCCTTGAAGAGAATCAAGACAAAATGTGCTCCTTATATATCCATCATTTGGCCTACCGGGGTGGTGTCACTCCTCCGGGCGGCGTCACCCTGACGCCAGCCTGAGTGGTCCCGTCCTGTGCTGATCCATGCTGACCCAGCCTGATCCGTAGTGGCACCAGCCTGACCCCGGGTGGTGCTTGGTGGTGTCAGCCCGACCCATGGTGGTGCCAGGGGTGTCAGCCTGACCCGTAGTGACGTCAAGGTGACACCGGGGCTCTTCAGTATGGTGCATGCTGTGCCGTAATGGTGCCACCATGACCCGTATTGTCCCACAGCGGTGCGCGGTGACGTCGGGGTGTTGCCAAGGTGACAACGGCGACACCAGGGTGGTGAGGTTTGAAGGATGTAGCGACTTGCGGAGCGATAGGTCGAATGGTGTGTGTCGAGGATGTTGCAAGGTGTTGTAGGTGTTACGAGCCTGTTGAAGTAGGCTATGATGGCAAATAGGTTGTAGAGTGACAGGGTCGTAACACCGTGTGTGTAAAAAGGAGTGTGAGTTTACTAGTAGAATGATGATAGACAGATTAGTGGTGGTGGTCAGTAGCAAGCAGACATGTAGTGTTGTGGTGTGGTTTGGCATTACTGAAACGCCGGAGCTTATGTGTACCTGACCCCATGTCATGGCGGGGTGGCGCGCGGGGGGTGTTCGAATGTATGACGAGTACGATATTACAGTGATAGTAAAGAGTTGCATTGAAGACTACAATCACAAAATCGTATGACCAATCCGTATTGCAGTTACGTGGTATGACTAATCAACAGGGGGGAAAAGGGTGGTGCGCCAAGACGCCATCCTTTTGTGCGGGAAGTTGGGTTCGGTGAATTGCACGGATCATGTCATTGCACATCCTCCATCAGGAGACTTGATCTGACGTGTTGTGGATAATTCGGATGCTCTGGCTATCATCTTATCAGGACGTCCACAACATCCTCTCAAGGGTGAGGCTCTTCACAATGCGAAGACGGTCTCCAAGCCTTTACCTCGAGGATCAACATCGCGCAATGTCCGAAACTTCCATGAGGTACTTCATGTCAATCCATGATGACGGCAATGCACTCCCGAGGCCTAGAATCTCGGCCTCGACCTCGTTATGAGTTATGAGAATGGGAAGAAGATAACTTGAAAGGATTGAGTGAGCTAGATTTTCTCACGGTGAATGCTGACTACCTTCGAAGGTGGAGTGGGAAGTTCTCTGGCCATCAAAACGTAGATAGCAATGACGAAGCAACTTGGGGAAGGGGGACGAAGTGGTGCAGTTGATATCCCGTCATTCTAGTGATTTGCGCTTATTCCATGCCTTAGTGGTACTGTAGTCAGTTTACATGAAGAAATCATCATTCTAGTCCTTTGCTCAAAGTCGTCGGGCCAGGCCATGACGTATGGGGAAGTAGTCTGAGTTACCAAATGTTTTCATCCTTTCGACCTGCACCACGCCATATTCTGGGTGGAGCACGTAGTTCTCAACGCACCATGCATATAAAGCAGGCATTGGCCCACATAAAGACAATCTTCCAACGTCTTCTACCACTTCAAGCATGGAATCAAGTACGTCAAACCCCAACTGGCAGCCGATGACTGAAGGTTCAAAAGCACTGTGTGATGTCCTCACCGTTGCCGAGCAAGTGACAAATTGTGCCAATAACCTGCCAGTGACACCGGAATCGCACCACGCCACTGTGTACAGATTGTGCTATCAAGCCTCCTTGCTGTTCGTCCGTTTGGCAGCTATCCAAAATGCATCCAGATACTCGTTCTTCACAGACTCAATTGAAGGGGTAGGAACTGCTGACTACAACCCTCATACTAGACCTGCGGCTCTAAGTCTGGATGGGGAGAGTCCTGCACAAGTAGCAATTATGACATGCTACAGCTGCGCCAAGGGGCTGGAAGACAACATTCGTAGAATAATCAATCCTCTTTCACGCACCCAGCTGCAGTATTCAGTAAACCAAATTCTCAGGCCGGACGACACTTGGTATTCATTGGCCGGAAGCATTTGGAATTATGTCAAAATAGTTGCGCCTGAGATAGCAACTGAAGTAGAAGAGGAACTTCGAGCAGAGGGCACTGAAACTTCTGCGTCCCCCCACACCTTGTGGGTTCGTTTATGGCGCAATCGCTTCAAAGAGGAAGATCGAATTGACCCTGCTCCATGGCAAACCAACCTCTGGAACATCCCCGATAGTGTGCAACTCCCTGATGAGTTCCACGAAATGGAGCAGCACAGCACTCAACCAGAGGGTCAAAACGAGTGACCTTACCTTCCGCTATTCATCACCCTCATCCTTTCAGGTGCCGCATAGAAGACGTGCCAATACGAAGTGGCACAAGTCTGGAGAGGGGATCAGGTGCCAGACTGAAGAATTATGCAGCTTTGAAGTGGCACAAGTATGCAGCTTTGAAGTCTCGTGCCACTTCAGAGCTACTCAATTTTAGCCTGTACAGAAGAGTACTTGTTCCCACGGGGTCCTCGAACGCACAGGTTGCTCGAACACGGATTATTCATCATATACATCTCAATCATTTATTGTGTTTATCCTTCATAAAATGATGTCCAGTCCTACGTAGCTCATTATGCAGTCACTAAGCTGTCTCCTCCGATTTCTCCGGCTTAGATGGATGTCAGGATCACGGGTACCTATAGACGGGTTCCTCAAGAGTCGTAAGCAGAAGTCGTACTTCACCTACCCGTTCCCGTCCCCGCTTCACTAATCCCACTACAGCGTCCTCCGTTCTCCTGTCCTACTCAATCGCTAGTTCTTTACCATGCTATACTTTTCCTTCATCTTCGTGTCCCTCATCTATCTCCGTCTTCCTTTGCTTTTACACCCCATATCATTTTCCATATTTACTCCATAGATTTCGGTATCACTCCGCTCCCTTTTTAGTATATAGAAACAGCCCTTTTTTGTAGATGTCTTGTCAAATGTATTCTCTCGTCACTTAGGAAATCTTTTGCCACTTGATCTCATCGACTTATAGTCTCTTTGATCCACTACATCACTAGACTATAAACTACATCACTAGGTCTGTTCCCTACGAGGCCCTATAGCCATAGCTCATAGACGCAGACTATTTTCAACGTCTGGTCCTGACAAAAGATTCTAGTAAAGTTGGCATGAGTTCTTTGGTAGGCCATGATCTTCTGACAGTCATGATGACCCCCGTGACACTCCGAAGTATCACGGCTTCCGTGGGTCACATAACAAATATCTCATTTGTTGTGAGATCTCATCAGCGGGTCAGAAATAGTTAATTGGAGCTAGTGTCATTACGGGGAGTGTAGATTAGTGCTTGGTAATACAATTTTGTGATTGTAGTCTTTTGTGCAACTCTTTACTATCATCATAATGTCCTACTCTTTGTACATTTGAAACAGGCTGAGACACGCCGTTGCGGCTTCATTGTTATGAGTCTTATATTCGTGACACCCACAGACCCACACAGGAGATGATGTACATGCGAAGTGGCACGGATCTTGGATTGGGTCCCAAAAGGTCTTTCTCAGCTGGACCACTCCAGAGTAGCATGTCTCCGGCTGGGTCCACAAAATTTGTAATAAATAGTTCTGGGAAATCATGAAACCCCCTCAAAATGCCTACGGCATACATATGCTCATCATATGTAGAACCATCTGAGCTCTCTCTTATTCAATGCATTCCTGTACTCTCATCAAATCAGATAACTGTGTTGTCACACACGTAGATTTAGATCCTCAACATACATCACAGAAGGTGGTCTGTCAGAGTCATACTCACTTTCTGGGTCTGAGGTGTCAATAGTTGGTGGAGTCACTTGATAAGCCTTCTCATAATCTGGCCGATAGTCTACCATGCACAGCCAGAGTTCTTGTTCATCGTGAATATCTTTCTTCTCTTGCTCATCTTGAGCGTCTCTTGAACGGTTACTGATCCAACCTCCAGATGTCGGGACTTTGCCCTTCAAATTCCACCGGTCCCAGCCAATGATGTACGTAACTTCATTGTCCTTAAGTTTGATAGTCACTGTTGTGCTCCCCGCTGGAGCCAGGGCAATCAGCTTCACCGAATCGGATGTATGGGAGATCCTCGCATCTGTCATCCTCACGCGGACCTGACTGACATCCGCAGTGAACGCCGTCAATCCCGGGATAACATTAGCAAGCTCTTCCCCAAGACGTTTTTTCGCACTGTATGCAAACTGATGGTGTTGATCCTTGTCGTTACTGACTTCGGCAAAGTCACTAGTCAGAGATGATTCATCTGATGCTTGTGAAGCATCCACCACGTTATCCTCATCTTCATCTTCCTCTTCCTCTTCATTTTCATTTTCTTCTTCATCTTCTTCTTCATCAATGTTGTTGTTCACTTCTGGCTCGATGTCCCCTGGAGGAGCGTCCTTGCTGACGGGGTCAAGGTCGTCCTCTTCGGTGCTGTCTGCAGGTACATAAGCTTGGCTATCAGAATCACACAAAGCCTTACCGACAGCATCTGGAGACACTGGATCTGCTTCATAAAGAGACTCTGCTGGATCTTCCCTCGGAGACACATCAGCTTGGCATGGCCTGAACCTCACTTACCCATCTTCCCATGTATGTGAGGGGTGTGTCTCTCTCATCAGGTTGATATGCACATAATCTTCTGATCATGAATGTGATCTCCTGGTTTTCAGCTTGGATAGCTTCACGAGTACGCTTTACCAAGGTACTTAGTGCTTGAGTTGTGACAGGGATTTCAACCTTCACCGACTGCCCATCTTTTGTAGTCAATTCTACCAAGTGGAGTACAGTTCCGGCGTCAAATAGGTCTTCCTGCGTCGTCGCACGGGGTGGGGGAGGAGACATTTGTGGTGAGGACATCACTGGCAGTAGTCAAATGTTGGTAAGAGGAAGATGAAGAAGTGTGAGGAGTGCACACAAACCTCCCAGATTTATAAAGTCTTCAGGAGGTGAGAAAGCTTACTCAATACGGGATAGGGAAGAAAGGAGAAATATACGGTGATGAAATGCTATGCAATTGGGTGTGAGAAATGTGGGAGAATGTCTCTTTCAGCGTCCTGTAGGAAGAAGGTTTGGTGGGAAACATTCTCAGGTAGTGCACAGGGAAATATGCTGAAAGGGCAAGCTACTGGAAATGTGGCACACCTTGCACCAGCTCCCCAAATACAGTCATAGATAACGTCCTCAACTCCGGTCCGTGTGTGTCCTGTAGTCCCCTTCCTTCCGCAAGATGACCTAGCTCTCCCGATGTTTGCGGGGCAAGCTCTGGCTGAGGGTCCCTCACACAGCACTCATGGCATTCCGGTGAGAAGGTAAGCGCGCTGTTCTTATCTCATGTCACAACATCATGGATGTGTAGAGATTTTGTGGAGTTGAGTTAGCATCCGGGTGAAAATGTTTATTCAGCATCTGAGCCGGATTTCAAGTCATCTAATCTGTGGACTATAGCAGGCGGGCCCCGCTCTCTTACTAGTGATCAGTAATGTCACGTAACTGCGATACGGATTGGTCATACGATTTTGTAATTGTAGTCTTTGATGCAACCCTTCACTATCATCGTAATTGTACTCGTTGTACACTTCGAACACTTATTGATAATTCTTCTCATCAGTCAGATCTGTTGGAGGGATCGAAGGAGCCATGAGCGGTGTGATGTTTCTCTTCGTTCAAGTTTTTAAGTCTTTATGCATCGTTAGTGAAACAGCCGGAGACGGACCACTCCGGAGCCGCACGGTCTGCCTCATGTTCAGTCAGAGAAATGCAGGTCCGGAGCTGAACACCTACTCAAAAGTTGCTCCCCAGAGCAAAAGGTGCAAAGGTATTAAAATCAAAGGTTAGAGTACACAGGGCACTGGAAAAGAATTGTCTAGAATGTATGACTGGTTGTTGTCTACACCTCTAGCCAAAATTTTGAATGCTAGAGAAGGGAGAAGCTTGAGACGTTTGATGACAAGATATCTCTCTCCTCAGGTGACTAGGGATGGGGTCTGATGAAATGATTGCGTAGCTGAATGAGGAGGAAGGACTGCATACTTGGATGCAGAAAGTGATGTTGTGTTCATCAATGACCTCAAGTATGGGTCAACGACAAAACTGCTCTGAGTGGGTCCGGACATCTCCATAGTGGGGCGGGTCTCTCTCTGGACAGGTCTGAAAGGGGTCTTTGAAACTGTACAGCTCCGGAGCTGGACGTCTCCGGCCGTGTCCCTAACAAAGAAAGGTTCGGATACGTCATCATTTTCCCCACTGGCCTTCCTGATATTTACATAGCCTCATCTTGTTGTTAAATCATCATGGGAACATGGGATACTTTCTCATCCGTGGAGTGAGAAAGTGACCAGTTCGGGAAGTTTCACACGTCCACGGTCTTCCACTTTCTTCAAACCCACTCGAATATTACGTATTCGGTAGCCTTTCTCCGCTCTATCCGCGTCATGAGAACGTGGGAACTTGTCCCATCATTCCTTCCCTTTTGATACTGCCTTCTTTGTGACTTTCCACTTCTTACACCCCCTATCCAAGTACCTCTCAGTTTTGTCTAAGCTCCCACCCCACCCAGAGACACCTGTGAGACTCTACCATGTTCCAGAAGATGTTCTCTTCAATCAGTGCAATACTGCCGCTGAAGCGGCGTATCGACGGCACGATGACTGGCTATACGGACCGTTGGTCAATAGTCAGGGTCGCAGCCGAAGAAGTCGACGCCTCACGATCCGCTGTTGATGATGGTAGAGGGGAGAACTTTCTACTCCCTGGCCCGCCAAAGCCAAGTATCACCGGCACAATGACTGTCTATCCGGACCTTTTGTTAAACGTCATGGAAGATTGCACGGAAGAGGAAGTGGCTGCCTCACTGTCCGCTGTTTATCTGAACAGAGGGGAGTCCTACTGGGGTGGCAATCAGGAATATTCTTCCGTCAAGGACTGCTTGAAGTCAATATGCAGACTGCACCGCGATGTACAGTGGTGTGCAAGATCATATGATCGTTATGTACAGACCATGGCCAGGACAGACAGTGATATTGACAACGGTGAGATCACAATTCCTTGTGACGCTCTGGTTTTGAATGATAGCTTCATGAGACTGTACAAGACCTGTAGCGATCAAAGACAATTTATTCCGAGTTTAACGGCTGGAGATTCAGACACAGCAGAACACAGGATATATCAGGCGGTTCATACATTGATCAAGAGCCGAGAAATCCCCAAGATACACCCGAACACCCAAGACACAATTGAGTGCCTCAACAAGCTGGTCAAAGCCACAGAAGATGCATTTGATACCATTTGTTCTGCCAAACAGATGCCAGATCTAAAAACAATCTGGAATGGTCTGAGAGCCATTGCAATCGAAGCTCAGGCAAGGATCACGATGATGCTGATATCATCTCACCCAGAGGCCTACGCAAGAGAGAATTGGTTTCAAGGACCACTTCCTATCATTGTCAACAAGAGCAATGGTAAGGAGGCCAGCCTCAAGGACAGTCTGGATTTGGTGCGGTCTGATCCAGGAGGCAAAGAGGGCACATGGAATTGCTCTAACTCCATAGAGACTGGTGACACTATAGGGAATCACTACGGTGATGGTCAAGTACTTAGGGGTGACCCCGATTCGCGCACGGCTAAACACTTGGTGACTCCACACAACATGGACACTGTCAGTGCATAGTTGACTGTGCACACCCTATGCAACAAGTGTGCAAGTGAACTGAAATCATTGTATTTTATCCTCCATTCCATTGTCAGCTCTTTGACACATTTGGTCACTCCTGTTACATGATAGAACAACCAGCAGTAATCTGCTCGCTCGCGCTCGCTGAAAGATTGCAGAAACAAATCCTTCCCACTGACCAAGTCAGGCTGATTCTAAGGTACCTCTGAGCAGAATGTTTGAACATAGGGTGATGCTAGCAGTCCACTCAGCAGATGCAGCTGACTACTATTGTTCTTGCATCTGTACCACCTAAAGGCTCATGTGCACTACCAGGCTGTGAGCCGGCTAGCTCATCTTGTCTTCCTAAGATATTGTTGTCGCCTGAATCATACTTAGGAGAGCCATGACCCTTCAAAGTGCCATGTCTTCCATGTTGATTAGTAACGCCAAGTAACTACCACTCGAAATTGTTCATATACAGTGGGGTGCGGGAAATGATGGCACAAAATTGTACCTTGATAGCGTTCATCAGTTTCATGTCGCGTCTTCATGTTTACCCAGATCTTCGCATGCAGGGATCATGTAGCGCTTCTTTTTGCATTTGGACATCTTCTCCAGTGTCCAAAGATGCCTGGCAAGTGTTTTTCACCCGTTTCACGCGCTCGAATAGCGGAAAAAGCAAGGACAATAACCTATCGCCAGGTCGCCATTGAACATGGTTGTTCTCCTAGTACCGTCGGACGTCTTACCCGCCAGCTCAGTCAAAAAGGTCACACTGCCCCCTCTCCTCGACCTGGACGTCCCTCACGCTTCACCCCTCGCATGGTTCGCCGCATCGAAGTCGTTATCAAACAAAATCGGAAGAAAACATTGAAAGAGTTGATTGCTGTCTTGAAGGATGATGGGATTGACATCTCTCTCACCACTTTACGTGCTACATTGAAACGTCTAGGCTTCAAACGCCGCATTGCTCGCAAGAAACCCTTTCTCACTAAGCGTCATAAACGTCTCCGACTTGCCTACGCAAAGAAACATGCGAAAGATAGTATCAATGATTGGAGAAGAACAATTTTTGTGGATGAGATGTGTCTCAAGCTTAATTGGACGACAAAATCGTATGTGACGCGCAGGGAGGGAGAAGCGTACTTGGAAGAGTGTCTGCAGCCTAAATTTATGGGTGGATGGAGTTCCTGCATGATCTGGGCAGCAATTTGGTACGGAGGACGGTCAGAATTGGTGATGTTTGACACAACTGATAGTAAGGGAGCTAGGGGAGGAATAACGGCTAGAATCTATCGAGAGCAGATCACGGAGGGACCCCTTAAAGCGGCTTGGACGCATCTCAACAACAAATGGAGGGCTTACGGTGGTGCTAGGATTGTTGAGGACAACGTTCCACTTCATACTTGTGACGAAAATCGACTTCAAGGGAAGAAACAGTGATTTCTCTATCTTGATCACCCCCCTTCTTCCCCGGACCTGAACCCAATCAAAAACTGTTGGTTGTACCTCCGCCAACGGATCTGGAAGCTTCCTAAGCGTCCTACAAACAAGATTGAATTGTTCAAAGTTGCGCAGACAGAGTGGAAGGAGATACCACAGGCAGTAATCGACAAGACTATAGACAGTATGATAAAGAGATTGGAAGGAGTTAGGAAAGTTGAGGGTGGTGTGACCAAATATTGATCCGGTTGGTCTCTCTCTTGGTGTATGAGCAGAACTGACCCTTGTCCAGAGTCTCACTAATTCTTAGATCATGAGAATCATTCATGCATGAGTTATGACGGATGAGAGACTATGGTATACTGACGCACGGATTTGACGCGTGTGCCATCATTTCCCGCACCCCACTGTATATGATGTCTCTTAGTCTCAGATGCAACTCTTGACTACATCATACTCAATGTACTAAGAACATTCCGTGTGTCATGTAACAGAGAACCTACTGCTCCAAAGTCGAGAGCATCTCGGACCAAACTGGTAGATACACCACACAGATGGGGATATGACAGTGCATCCGAGTCTGGTTGTGTTTCATTGTATCCGTTACGCCAGCAACCGAAGCCGTGACGCTCTGTGCATCATGAATCTTCCAACAGTTATGCTAACCCCCATGATGCTTCGAAGCGTCAGGGCTTCCGTCCGTCACCTAACCTTCATTGTGTTTGTCGTGTTTCATTGAACAAGCACTGACTTCAAACTGATGGTTGATGGCCATGAAGTATTCATGCATGCACCCACTAGAGATGTTGTAAATCCGTATCCTTGTCCACCATGTACAAAGACCAAAAGTCTCAGGATCATTATCTTTCATATGTGTTACTCGTGAAATTCTCGTCATAAGGGTAAACCGTCCGGTCCCAAGGCAAGTTTGACTTTCTTCTTCTGTGATCGTTTGACTATCAGGCGTTAGCAGGTCTTCATTTTCAATCATATCACTAAACGAGCCACACCAAGTGGAAGTGTAGTGCTGATAAGAAGAGTAAACGTGATGAAAAGGGTAAAACATGCCGACTTGAAAGAGGGGCAAACTCCGACTAGACGACACGTAGGTCATATGGGTATCCGTGAGATAAGTTTTGACAGTTTGGGTATAAAGGTAGAAAGGATGACAGAGATGTATGAGACAGAGATGTATGAACTAAATCTACTCACCCTCATTCTCCGCCTTCCTCTTCTTTCCACCTTTTTGCAAAGGCGTAACAGTCCCACTCCCCGCTCCACTCTTCCCCTGTCCTTCATCCCCATACTCTTCATCTTCTCCATTGACGACTTTCCGTCCTAACGAGAAGAAATCATCTTCATCTTCATCACCACCCGTCACCAATGCATCCCCGAATGAAGTCTTTCCCTTTGATGTACCGTTCATGGGTGCTACGTATCCGTGCGCTTCGGCTTGTTTACGTTTAGCAACTGATTCTGCCAATTCGTCATCGTCCATGAACAAGGATACGATTTCCGCTGGTTTAGCCACGTCGGTAAGAGATTTAGCTCCGACGACAATGTCTTGAACATCTTTTTTACCTCGAGCTAGACGGATGATACGTTCTTCGATCGTACCTCGGGCTATGAGACGGTAGACAGTGACTTGTTTCGTTTGACCTACTCGGTGGGCACGATCCATCGCTTGGGCGTCGTTGGAGGGATTCCAGTCGTGGTCGTCTATACGTTAGTTGAGTTCAGTCAAGGCGGCTTTGATTGCGGATGGCAGACGACAAGCACTTCTGGGAACTCCCAAATATCAAATACGACAAGACATAATGGACTGTAGTAAGTGTGGAGGGAGGGAGACAGAGGAAGTGAGACAAAGAAGGGAAAATGGAGAAACGGGGCAAGATTGGTAGATGAACGACGTGGACAAATGATGAACGGAAAGGAAAGGAAAAGAGGGGTGGGGTGGATTTGGAGAGAGATCACTCACAAAATATAACAGTATCCGCAGCGGTCAAATTGATACCCAATCCACCAGCACGTGTAGATAAACAAAACACGAAGATATCAGAATTCGTCTGCCAACTAGTGACCATATCCCTTCTCTCACCAATCGGACTTCCTCCATCCAACCTCAAATACTTGTATTGTCTATAAATCAGATACTCCTCTGCCAGATCCATCATTCTGGTCATTTGGAAATACAACAAAACTCTATGACCACCAGCTTTCAATTCTCGTAGAAGTTCGTCTAATCTTGCCAGTTTGGCAGAATCGACGATTAATCTTTGGAAAGCCGGGATCTTGATGCTAGCTGCTGGACTCTGGTCAAGAGGACTGGCACGGATAAGACCTTGTGGTGGGATTGGGAGGACAGAGGTAGCTGTAGGAGAGTGGAGCTGGGAAGGAGGCACTCCGTAGAGAACGTCATGTAATGTCGGATCGGTACTGAGACGACGTTGAGTGTTGAGGAATGCACGTGATGAGATGTAAGGTCGGATAGGAGGAACGACAGCTTTTTCAAGTACGAAACGTGCTGCGCGGCGAGAAAGGTAAGATGTGTTCCATGCGACTGAGGTGATGTCTGCTAAAGGTGAGAGTCCGGGTGGACGAGTGGTCGGTATGGTCGGTGCGAGAGGTCGGAGAGGGTATTTCTCTGACGCGGCAAAGGTTTGATCACTGGAAGTCAGCCTGCTGCCATGTCGTTTCACCGGGTGCTCAGTCTGATGAGCATATGCTTCCCGCCTCATTACACCAGTCTGGCAAGACGCAGAAACAAACGACGTAGCGGTAATGACCGACCGAACCTGCTGAATGGCATAGAGCGCAGTCGGGGAGAGCGAGGGGTAAGAGAGGTCGTAAGGGTATACTTTATGAGTTGAAGAAGGATTTGAAGTCGCTCACCTTGCAAATTCAAATCCTCCGACGTGTCAAATCACTCAGCACAGTGACCAAAGGATGTCCTTTAACTTTCCTCGCTACTTGACCAGGTGACAATCCAGCAATCTTCAAAAATCCCCATCCATCCCCATCTTCCTTCGAACGTTTCTCCACCCAATCTTCTCTCCAGATATTCATAAGATTCCTCAACACATGTCCTTCGTCCCCCGCTTTACTCTGATCAGAAGGTAAATCCAACTTTCCTTCTTCCCATACTAACCTAGGTAATTTTACATCAATGGCATTCCGTGCGCTGTCTGGACAATAAAGAGGTTCGACTTGCCTTGCGAGATTACCGGATTGAGAGAATGTACCGAACATGTACGGCGATACTACGTCTGCACGTTCAAAGAGATCCGGATGGTTACAGACTTTACGAAACTGCATGACGAGGTTCATGAGGTTCTTTGCGGCGAGGGAGGAGTCGGATGATTGGTTGGCTTGAGCCAAGAGATCGGATACGGAGACTCGTTGTCGGAGAGCACGGTAGATGGAACGTTGACGTTGTGACAAGTCGACTAGGAGGTCGATTTCGATCTGAGATTCAGCTCTCATAACTGGCATTCCTCAAGCGACTGTCTCTGACACTTCCATCTTGTCGGGCAATTGGACCAACAGCAGCAATCGATAGACAGACCATTCGACTCGTCAAAGTACAAAGAACGCCTTGGAGCTGTGGCCCAAGGAATTCAGCAAGCCAGTGACAGTAGGAAAAGGGCGAGTCAGATGACCAGAGAGAAGCGGAGACGACAAGTAGTGGGAAAGGGGAAGGACAAGTAATGGGAAGGGGGGAAGACCAGTAGTGGGAAGGAAGAATCGAGGAGATGTAGCAGCCAAACTCACCTTATCACCCAATTCTTTCTGCACATGCTTCTTTATCCGTCTCAACATGAAAGGTTTCAAAATCACATGCAACCGTCTGAGCTGTTCAGGCTTCAACGTAGCTCCACCACTCCCAGCTGCATTCTCTATATCTTTGGAGAACCACTCGCTAAACTCTTCGTGCGAGTCAAACAAAGAAGGCATGATGAAATGAAGTAGAGCCCATAGTTCTGCGTGTCAGTGAACATCCCCCATATGGTGTGTTTTTATATGTAGCAAAACTTCTCTTGGACTTTTCCAACGACCACGATCTCATCGCCTTCCACTTTCGCTCTCACCCTTGCCCAGCTTACAATCGTAGTTGCGAGCAACAGAAAATGAGCACCCTGGCCCCCAAGTGGCATTATATTCAGAAGTGTGGCCGGACCCGTGAAAGCAGCAAGATCTCCCAACAGAAGACCAGACCAAGCGTGCAGCCTAACATACGACACATAGCCCACGGAAGGACCAGTCTCCTGGGAAAGAAACCGAAAGATTGACAAGAAAAAGGATGGTAGCCAAAAAAATTCCCACTCACCGTGCATGGAATTCTGTATCGGTGTACCGGTCAATAACAACCTGTTCCTACAATGAAGCGACAACAAGCTTTTCCATCTAGCAGAACTTGACGATTTGATGGCTTGTGCTTCGTCTAAAATCATGTATTGCCATCTTGTGCCTTGAAAGTATTTCTCATCTTGGACGGCCTATTCGTCAGTCGGGCCATACCCCATTGTCACCTCTACGATTCTCTCTCATCCTCGACACACTCAGGGACCATTTTCAAACCTGGAAAACAAACCAAAATCGTCCAATTACTGACACGCCGAGAGTCTGTGTGTGATGGGCTCCGAATAATGGCCTGTGTGAGATGGAGTGTGTAACAAGAATTTTGTCAAATGGGCTACAAACGATGATCCGCGCTAGATGGTATGTGTAGAAGGGAGTTTGTCAATTGGTCCGCAAATAATGCCGTGTGAGATGGGAGTTTGTAACCGGAATTTCGTCAAATGGTACGGGGGAATGGTTCACGTAGAATAGTTTGCAAACAATGGCCTGTGTAGAATGAAATACGTGAGAAGAAAGTTGTCAAATGGTCAGGGGAAGATGGTTTTTGTAGTATGGCGTCTCTGCACGAGGTCCCAAGATAGTGAGTAGAAATGGTCGGGAATGGTCGGGATAGTATTGTCAGCGTACAGACCGAGATGGACAGGGTCGGAAAGATTGGATAAACACGTACGAGTTGATACGAAGTAACCAAAACATGAAAAGGACTACCTTCATCAAAAGTCAAATTCTTCCTACACCATACTTTTCTTAAAGTTTCTCTATCTTTCGGACTACCCCAATAAGGTAATGTTTTCAATCGAGGAACAAACCTAGCTAATTCTTGTTGCCAATTATGTAATGTCGAACTTGGTGCAATCACCAAGAATGGACCCCAGAGATTATGTGTTTCAGCTAGATAAGCTAGGAGAGAAATAGATTGGATGGTTTTGCCTAGACCCATTTCGTCTGCTAGAATACCGTTGATCCCTTGTTCGTATAGATTACCTAGCCATGTGAGACCTTTTAGTTGATATTCTTTCAATTGGGCCATGAGCATACGTGGTTGAGAAATGGATTGAGCGTCGGAAGAGAGAGTGGGGTTTTGGAAGTTTAGTTCGTCGCCGTCGACTGGAGGTTAGCATACTTCCAAATGAAGGCTACAAGACATGGGCCATCGGGAAGTGGAGGAGTAGAGTGAGACGAGATGGATCTATCCTTGAGTGGACCATGATGAGGGTTGATCCTCAAACAAATGAAGACGAGCGGATTATAGGCAGGACAGGGTAGCAAGTGGGCAGGTATCAAGCTTAATTCCGATGAGAGACTTATCACAACAGCGAGAACATCCAGAGATGAACGTGAAACAAATAGACACACGACGCCGAGAGAGGATTGAGGTATACGAAGAATGGATACTCACGATCTATAGGTGCACTATTGTTCGACTGATCAAAAGCTTTGGCTTTATCCCTAGCAGCTTTAACAGCAGCCTGAGCACCTCTAGCAGCGTGTCGTCGAAGGTTTTCTTCGTCATCTGATCATTAGCACGTCACGAGGTAACCCCGGCTGACTTTCCACCATTATCCCACCACGAGTGCGATTCAGTCGCCAGAAACAAGATATTTGAGCACTAAAACTCGTGAAGGCTGGGCAAGTCACGGTCAGGACAGACATGGGTCCTCCTTTCCCAACCAGATCTCTACATCATCGAGAACCGTCACAGAAGAAGGCTGATAGTCGGAAGAGTGAGAGAGGAAGAGTGAGTGGTGAGTCTCAAGCAATATAGAAATGTGGGTCTCCAGGAGACACTCCAGATAAGATCAATGAGAAGACAAGGAGGGGTGGAAGGGAGGGGAGGGGGGGACGAAACCAGAACTCACCATCATCATAATCAATATCAGGTAATGGTTCCCCTTCATCATCCAAACCTAATTCTTCTCTTCCCTCCTTCTCCTTCTCCTTCTCCTTCTCCTTTTCCACCGAATCACCTCCAATATCATCCCCAACATCTTCAGCCTCTTTCGTTTTTATTTTCTTCCCGACGAAATGAGAATACAGTTCCGTTTGAGTCAACAAGAAATTCAATTTCCTAGCTTGACGTTTACTTTCCCTTTTTTCTTCTTCCAATTTCGCTTTTTCCAAAGCTTCTTTTTCAGCTCTTTTCCTAGCTGCTAATTCATCTTTTTCATTTTTACGCCAATACAGAGATAATTCTTTCATTATCTTCTTTGAACGTGATATAGTTTCTTTCGTTTGACGGGAGGTCGTTTTGAAAGATGGTTTCAAAGATCTTTGAGTTACGGAATTACGATAACATGCTTGAGCTGTACGGAGTGCGTTGGCTCGGAGGACTGTGGATGATGATTGGTAGACTCTGTACATCTGGGAATCAGTTATTTGTTTAGTATGACACGAGACAAAAAATATCGCTAAGCAAGTTTAACCCCCTGCGAGACATTCAGAGGGACAAGTGACCGCTGTGGGCTCGTGAAGCACATGGGTGGAAACAATGTTGGCGAGGTGACTTGAAGCACATCGCAAAGACGGGCGAACAAATGATTGGGGCCACACTTTGAACAAACCCAGACTGGGCAGTTGAAAAGGGCTTTGACATAGACGGAATGGTGAGAGGAGTTACGTGTGGACACGCCCGATCCGGCTTGAAACCTAGTGCAGCAAATTCAGGCGAGCAGATACTCGAGCCCAAAGATGAAAGCTGACAACGTTCGCTCGCGGGGGGGGGGGGGGGGGGGGGGGGGGGGTTCCCAAGTGGATGAAAGTTTGATCTGATCTACTCGAATTTTGTGTATAGATAGTGGATGGGGATGAGAATTATGATAATTCTCTTCTCCCCAACCTTCTATTCTCCAAACATCTTCTTCATACCCTATTTCTCTCTTTTTATCATCTTTAGGAGGTCTTGTCCATCTACCTTTCCCCACTCCAGGTTCTTTCACTTTAGAAGTTTTCTTGGAATTTGAATTTAAAGGATTTACTAATGATTCTAATTGATCATCTAAAGAATCTAATTGATTCTCTTTCCCTTTACCTTTCCCTTTATCTTTTCTCATTCCGATTTTATTAGAATGTTCATTTTCTAACTCGTTACTTTCTTCATCTTGATCATAAACATCGTATGGACTTGAACCTTGAGGATTATTAGAAAGGTTTAAAACTTTCATATTCGTAGAATGATAAGTTTCAGATTCTTCACCTTCTTCAACTTCACTAAATTCTTCACCTCTTCTTAATTTTTTCCAACCTTTCGCTGGACCTGGTTTCTTTCGAATAGTACCATCTTTCCTGACTAAAGCTTTACCATCTTTAATCTTTTGTCTCATCCACATTTCATCTTGAACTGCTTTAACATCTTCTTCTGTCAATCCTCTCATGTTACCACTTTCAACTTTGGTAATGACTTCTGCACGTGTCAAACCGGAAGGTTGTACGATTATATCTGGATCCCAACGATCCGCCACATTTTCCGTCGTTTCTTCTTTCGTTTTACCCTTCTTTTTATCCGTCACTTGACCTTCGGGTTGATCGAATGGGTCGTCAGGGTTGGAAGCTGAAGTACGAGCTTTGGGAGTGACATCTTCTCGATTGGAATGAGGTGTTGGTTGAGCAGAATGAGAAAGACGTAAGGATGGTGTAGAAGGACGTTCATCGTCTGAATCAAGTCGAGAACTCGTATCACCAGCTAGATCGAGTAGTTCGTCTTCCAATGCAGCGGCCATTTTCTTCTTGTGCGATCTGGGTTTCTTGGGTAGTAGAGCGACAGAGGCGGCTTTGCGTTCTCGTTGGGCGATACGGGTAGGATGGTCGGATGGCCAGCCTCGACGTTTGCGGTCGACGGGACCGAGGAGGTTGCCGGAGGAGCCACGGGCATGGGAGGTTTTCGTTTTCTTGCTGGGTGGGAGCTGCATGTAAGCGACTTTCTTCATTTTCCAGATGCTTCAAAGTCTTCTTGAACTTTCACAGGCTCTCGATTGCTATAACTCCTCACCGTTGTTTCGATTTCTATACAGAAGCAAACATCACACTATTCGGTTTCCCGACCTGTCTCAGCCCGTATCGTCCCTACTCGTATGAAGCTTCGAGTGTTATACCAACACTCTGCCAGCCGTTCGACAAAGCGCAGTTTGGCAACGGTTTCAGAAAGTAAGATCGGTCAAGAAAGAATGGTAGAGATGGGGAGCAGTATTTGGGACAACATAAAAAAGTAGACATCAAATGAGCGGTTCACGAAGTACACTCAATGAATAGATGAAGAGAGGATGGGAGAAATATCACTCAAACGACAATGTGTCACTCGAGACACAAGGAAGAAATCAGAAGACAAAATCCCACTCACATCAGATTCAAAAGTCGCCACCCAAGCAGCTTCCGCTTCTCTCCTCTCTTGATAAATCTGTAAAGCACGTTGCCAAATATCATCCGACCCTGCTAAAACGTCATCCAATCTATAAGCTTTCCCGATATTCCCACTTCCCTCTCCACTTAATCCGAATGCACTTTGGTCTGCATCATCCATCATTATCCCATGATCTATTTGTTCTCTTCCTTCTCCTCTGAAGACATCCCTGATATCTCTCGGATAGGACGTTTGGTCGTCTTCTTGTATCATTGGAGTTGTAGAAATGTGACGTTCTCCATGAATCGGTCTGTCTTCCCCCGAGATACGTCTTTCTTCTCCCGAGATGCGTCTTCCTTCTCCTGAGATATGTCTGTCTTCGCCTAAGCTACGTCTTTCTTCCTCCAACACCCGTCGGTCTGGTGAACGATCCATTTCTGAATATTCCCCCGCAGAAAGAGTCCTACGAATCGATGAATCGTATCTCTCCGCCGAAGATAAAGCTTGAGAACGAGAATCTCTTCTGATATCCTCCGAAACCTCCATTGTTCCCCTTTCTCCAGATATCGGGAAAACATAATTAGATTGAATTTCATCCATAGTTCCTCTTTCTCCGGAAGTAGGAAATCCGATAGATCTATCTCTTCTAACATCATTCCCAGTCGTGATGACGGAAGAAACTTTAGGTGATACAGGTTTTGATAGTCTACCGGAATGTCCATTTCTAGGTACTAAATCTCTCGTACCTCTACCCATACCTAATATCACAGAAGTGGAAGTAGAAGAAGAAAGTGGGAGTTGTATACCAGTGGAGGAGCTTGATTTGATAATTTTTGATTGGCATAAAGTTCTGCAAGTGGGAATGAATCTCTTTCTCTTCTACTTGATTGTGTATGGATTTCTCTCATGTGAGGATCATGTTCTGATTGTCGAGGATAAGATGTGGTTTGAGAGGGATGGGAAGAATGGGATGGGGTTATATATGGTTGACCTGATAATGGACCTCTGGAATGATTAGAGGTTGAATGTTGGGAGATGTTAAAGTTAGGGTTGGGGTTAGGGTTGGGGTTGGATGGAGTTAAATGTTTTGAATTCGTATTGGGTAAATTTGGTGAATGATGGGGATTTTGACGTGTGGGAGAAGAAGGGTTAGGAAGAGGTGAAAGTGGGATAAAAGGTGGAGGAGAGTTTACAAGTGCTGAAAGAGCCATACGACCCGAAGGTGTTGTACGAGGTGGGGAAGGCTGTTAGTTAGTTTAAGAAGACACTTCTGATATCACGATAATCTCAACAATGATTGAGAAATCAACAAACATGACATTCCAACCCAGCAAGATGAGAAGAGGTAAAGAGTAGTAAACTCACATCTTGACCTGACATCTTTCCCAAATACCCAAATACCCAAATCCTACTTTCTACCCAGTAAGTTATCCCACTATCCCACAAAGCTATGATCCCACAATCCTGTCAGCCTAGAAGAGTACGATACTCTGGATCATAAGTCTATTTGACTGTTTGGAATGTGTAAGTCTTTCAGTTCCATGCACCCTTCAATGTGGTAGTTGTTCGAGCTTGACGTTATGATGTTTGACCTACTCTATCAGTTCATCTCATATTCAATGTCTCAACCCATCACCCATCGTGCTCATCGCCTTCATGTACATCAACACAGCCCTCGTCACCTCCCCCCACATAACTCAGAGAAAGAGTAACTCACAAAGTCCCACCCTAACCAACTTTCACTCCCTTGATCCCTGTGTTCGGAGGATGAGAGGGGAGGAGAACAATCAGGAGGTGAGATGAGATGAGATGAGATGAGTGGAGTGGGAGTTGGAGAGACGAGATGGGAGGAAGAAGACGCTAAAAGCGGCGTTGCGGCGTTTTTCTTCAACCCCTCTCTCATACAATCCCTTTGCACTTATGAATGAGAGAAGAGAAGTACGTCACGTGTTCTTTGAGGATGTTGTCTCAAGATGGTATGGTGTGGTGGGTTCTTATGTATATGGTGGTGAGTGGTGGCTATTGGATGTGAGTATGGATTGGTGAGTTGGTGGGTGTTGGGTGATGAGGGGGAAGTGTGATACATGGGGGTGGGAAGGAACCCCCCCTCTGTCCTCCCTCTCCCCCGCGGACGTATTCTTTTTTCTCTCACTCAATCTCACTTTCTCGCTTTTTTCTCTTTTTCTTCCTTTTTCGCTTGATCGATTGCCCTCGAATCGGGGTGGAGGTGGAACATCTCCGAATGACACGTCATAGTGATAACCACTTACATCGCGTGTAGGGATTGTCTTCCTAATGGATCACCTGGGGACGCGCGGGGAAAGGTAATCGTTCCTTACTCAATCACTGCAGTTTTACTTATGTATTAGGATTTGTGGAGTAATGCTGAGAAGGGGAATTCTAATGACCGACGCGTCCTTTCCACTCTCTCCTTATCTCCTTCTCCGAGTAATTAATAGATTGTTGCATGAGATCGTACCAACATTAGGGTATTCCCATTGATTAATTGACACCAAAGGGTAAAGTACATTTGTAGCCCTTTTGGAATTGAAACCCACAAGTGCAGCAAACATACCAGAGATATAATTCAGACATGCATATACTTCATTCACCTTCAACTTTCACAACAGCTGCTGGCACGGTGGTGGCGGGAGGAGGAGTAGGTGAAGGAACGGCCGGTGAGGCCATACGAGCGTCTAAAGCTTTGAGGGCGAGTGCTCTGGACGTGAGCAAGTGGTTCCTTATCAACCACCGATGCGTACGATATACCTGAGAGTAGAGTGACACTCGGGTGGACAATCCCAACCCGAAGACATGATGCCCAGGAGTAAAGGGGAGGACTGGATGAAGAAGTAAAAACTATGACCCACCTTCGTCTCTCCGCCTCGGCTCTAGCACCTCCAGGTCCAGGAAGTGATTGATAAGTTCCTAAAGAAGGTTCATCCCACGCTTGCGTCAAATGTAATTTCACGGCCAGCGCAAAGACTTTATTAGCGGCTATTGAGATGTATGGTCTAAGAGTGAGTTTCTACCCACGAGTATTCGAGGCTTTTGACGCAAAAAAGGTGGGAGTCATAAGATGAGGAAGACCGGGGAAGGAGTAGGAGTTCCAAGAACAAGAAGCACGGGGTAAGGGTGAGAGGAAAAAGGAAAAGAGAAAAACTTACCGTATAATGGGAGGAAACCAATATTGAAAAGCGAAAGTTTCACTTCTATCACCTCTGAATTGACCATCTTCACTTAATTTGAAAAACCTCAGATAGACCCAAGCGACAAAGAAACCGAATTGTATCAAGATGTAAGGTGATGGGCCTAGGAGGATGACGAGGACGTTTGAGATTAAGAGGTAGACTCCAGGGAGGGACTGGTCGTCAGCTTTCGATTGACGATCCCAACGTTTGAGATAACATTGAAAATCGGATAACGGTGATTAACGGATGAGAAGATTAGGGAGGGAAAGTATGAAACTCTCGATGGGGATAAAGGGAGAAGGAATAAAATGAAAGGGTGAAGAACTCACCTTCACTCTCATCTTGATAACACCAAACATCTGGAGTTGATGTTCCGGTATGAGTTGAGTGAAAGCGACCAAGAAACCAGCTTGAAGACCGGATAATCCATGAAAAGGGGGACCGTAACTAATATCAGCTACACTGTCTAAACGTCCATAGCTAATAGCAAATAATAAATAGTGTCACGGAGCGCATCGAGTCACTCTGAGTGATCATCACCAAAGCTGAGGATTAAGAAGGGAGGAGGGTAACTGAGACAGTAACATGAACGGATGAGAGAAACAAATATGAGATGAATAAACGACACTCACATAGCATCTTCTTGTCCAATAACTAAAAATACCAACCAACCGAACCCAAAAGCTATGATATTCCCTCCTATCACCACTACCAAACAAAACCTCACTAATTCTCTAGGACCCCAGACTCGTTCGAGATAACGGGATGCGAAACCTAATGATAATGCGGAGAATGCGAGCTGGTATCAACTCTCTGTATGACTTTGATCTAATCAACCTTGATCGCAACAAACAAATATATTATTCGACCTTGACTGCAACATACGAATACATTGAGACAGAGGAGAAAGGAAATATATGGAAAAGTGAGATTTTCCAATGACGAGACTGAAATTGTATGGTGATGAGAATGAGGTTGTTTGATGAGAAGGGACAAAAAACGGATAACCCACCTCTACCAAATTATTCTCAACCCATCCGGCCGTTACCAAAGTCCAAGGATATAACCAACTCTTTCCTGGACTCAAAACCAACCATGGCATATCTGAACCTTTTACCATTAATCTATATAACATGACCAATAGACTGAGTGAGATTTGAGTGATGACTAGTAGACGAGTGGTGAGAGGGACAGATTGTAGGAAAGGTAAGAAAGATATTGCTGGCATTTTGGGAAAAAGGTTTCGCCTCTCAAATCGACCCCGCCGTGTTAATGAATCGTCCGAAGTTTGATACTTAAAAATGTGGTTTGTTGGATTATACTTCGTCTGAGTATATAAGTTGTAGTCGGATGAAGGGTTGTGTATCTTATCGATAATCTTGGGTTTGAAGCCGGGGTGAAAGGTCGTCTTCGACACGCGTTACAAACAGTTTCTGGAGTATGGACGGACCGATGAAGATCTGTTTTGGTACAGTCTCGTGGATCGTATTGTCCCTCTAGGCGGTTTAGTGATTGTGTAGGAGATAAGAGGGAGTCTATATGAGGTATATAGGGTGTTATGGGGAGGTTCATAGGACCGAGGAGGAGGACCTACCGCGGCGTTATTCGGCGTTATCTTCTTTTTCGCCACTCACCAACAACACGTCTATACTTACCCAATACATGATCCAACTCGATACATCTATACATTCCTCCTACTATATTCCTTATTTCCAACCTCACTCGTCTCGACCATAACACAAGTGATACGGTGAACCTATAAAACGAAGAAAACTCCTGCGAAGAAATCCGAACAGACAGTCAATCCCCATGGCCCCTTCCCGTTCCCCTCCCCTTCCACCCGACACTCCCAACTTTTCAACCCATGATCCCCTTTCACCTTTCCCTCCAGACGAACCAGGTGGTATAACATTATCTTCGATAGAAGTAAACCTTCTGATATATTCATATTTAATAGAATCGAATTTCCACCATACGGCTTTTTCTTTGTTACATGAATCTGGATTACCTCATACTTCTTTATGGCAACATTATAATCCTTCTTCTTCCACTTTCCCATATCCTTCTCATCCACCTCTTTCTTCACATTCCAATCATCCTTCCTCCATTCACAATCATCCTTCTTCCACTCACAATCCTCACACCCAAACGAATAATCCTCACACTCATCACACTCAAGCCAATACAGCAGGAACCAACATACAAATGGAGAAAAATAGTAAATCTCATCGACCACAGAGTACGAAATCACCATTGAGTGCGACGTTCGGTACTGAGAAAAATAAAATATCAAGAGGTGAATTAATAAGATGGTTATGGAAAGGTATAAGATTAGAATATATCACAAGACATTTGATAAACGATTCCTCTAAATATGGTCCTTGTCCGTCTCCTTTTCATCTTTTAATACCACATCATTGTCCTATTGATTATCCTTCTTCTAGATTAAATCCACTCGAACCGAATTCACCGAATCAAAAGATTAATAAATTACCACCGAAACAAGTCAAATCATTTGATATCGAAGTTGATCATATCGAAAACCAAGGTCAAGATCGAGAACAAGAACAAGAACATGGACCTGAAACAGAACAGGGGAAAGAAAAAGTTGAAACATACGCAAGGGAAACCACTCAAAGTCGAGGTGGTCAAGAAAAAGGGAAAAGAAAAGCTACCAGAGCGTCAACGGAAAGAAATAGAAGTATCTCTCCTGTAAAAGGTAGAGAAAAGAAAAAAGCAAGGATATCAACTGGTAGTTTAACAGAAGATAAAACACGTAAAATTGAAGATAATTCAAGACCTTCTTCAGCAAATTCAATTTCCATATCAGGTTCAGGATCAAATATAACAACCAAATTCGATATTGACACACAACAAGATAATTCAAATAAATCTACCAGTGTGACTAATAGAGGTAGAACAATAACAACGACAGGAAAAGGAAAGAAAAAATCAGATTTCTTACAAGTACCAAAAACGAAAAGAAGCGTTTCAGTAACTTCGACATCTAAATTATCTGTTGTATCAAATATGGAAGTTGATCCGAAAAGAATACGAGCGGAAGATTTGGCTATATTCACTCAACATAGGGATCAAGTTTCTTGTTTGGCTTGGAATCCTACTATAATGGATGATGTAGCAACGGGGAGTAGTGATGGTACAGCTAGGATATGGCATTTGACTTCGAATGAAGGTGATTTGAATAAGGGTGATAGGGGTTTATCTGGGTTAGAGAAAGGTGAAGGGAACGTTGAAAGAGATGGGAATGGGAAAGGGAAAGGGAAAGCTTTGAGATTAGAAAAACCGGAAAAAGATAAAGTTTTGGTCGTTGCTCATAAAAGTGTGGAAAGTTCTAAAAGGGCGGTGACGGCTGTGGCTTGGCATCCTTCTGGGAGTTTATGGGCTACAGGTGGGTCAAGTCTTCACACTTTCGCAGATTCACATCTTTACATCTTTTACATATCAATCTCTCCACAGGTTCATTACCTCTTCGAATATCCGATTCTTCCCTCCAAAATATGTCATCTTTCCCCTTAATTAACACATCCTAGTTCCTCCATTGAATATATTCTACTCAATCAACACTTCTTTGCCTCTTGTAATTCCCTCCCGGTAACAATGTCTTATCTACCCAGTTCTGTCTTTTCCATTGGGAGAGAGAAAATTCTGAGAGTCAACAAACCTTCTTCTTCGATTGACCGTGAATAGAGACTGATTTTCAGGCTGCGACGATTCAGTGGTTCGTATTTACACCCCATCGGGACAAATCACTGCTATATTGAATTACGGAAGAGGTAAAGTGAACGCTTTGAGGTTCTCACCGGGAGGAAGTATGATTTTGGCCGCTAAGGATGATTATACGATAGCTTGTTTTGATGTGGCTGGAGGATTGAAATGTTCTTTCGAAGCACATTCAAGTGGGTTCTCCGTTGTATATCCCTTAAGATTCCCAGCATTTCATTCACCCAGATGCTCTTTTTTTTTTATCTCCTGTCACTCATTCCAAACGGATACTAGTCTTTACAAGGAAGTGACTCTTGATATCTTGTAGGAATGTAGAACTGATAAAGCTGGAACGTCGTGTGGAGTCGAGCTGACATGATAGAGGAAGTGAACGATATCGACTGGTTAGACGATTCAGTGTTCGCTTCTGGTGCAAACGATCATACCGCTTTCGTCTTCCGAGTAGGGGATAGAAGACCAAAGTTCACTTTTAAAGGTCATACGGACGATGTGACTAGGGTGAGATGGGCGCCTGGTGATGTGGGTGGTGAAGGGAGTGGGAAGATTGGTTCGGGTGGTGAGTCTATACTTTTCACCTCCAACTTTACCCGCTCGTCGTTCTATGATGCCTCTATACTCTCCGCTTAGATCCGTGTCATGTCTGAGCTTCTCTTTCCCCTTCTTTCTCCGCTCGTATCCCTCGAGAGCCTCGTCGCGCTCGATACCCTTCTCCCATCGCTTCACTCTGCGTAAACATCTCGCATTTGAATCAAGATTTGGTCCGTCGACAGAGCTTCGATCGCGGCGTGCGTTTTGTGGAAAGATCACGGTTGAGTGCACATACTAACCCCCAGCCTCCCGCCTCCTAGCCACATGCTCTGACGACGGAAGTATCATGATCTGGCGTCTTCCATATTACCCCGAACCAGGTGCCAAATCCGACAGTCGATCTCTCAGTCCTCAAAAGGCGAGAGAAGGGGAAGATGATTATTTCGCCCAAGGGGACGCTTGTGTAGGTAGGATCATGGTGATTGATGAAAGTGAGAATAAGAGGATGAATACTCTGGAATGGGGGAAGATAGGGGATAGGGTCGTTGTTGCTGCGTGAGTTTTACTTTGCCTTTATTCCTCTTCCCCTACCACGCTCAATATTCAGTGTCGGTAAATACTGAATGTGGTTGTTTGTTGCACTCAAAGCCAAACCGCCCCATACCATCCAAACTCACATAACATGCACGTTGTACAGTTTCTTGGGGGTGCATAGGTATGCCAGCTGACACATAGTGGCGGTCAAGATTCACTAGTACGGGTGTTTGACCCATTGACGTCGGAATGTATTTATACACTTCCGGGATTAGAATCTGGAACTGGATCAATAGCTTTTGCACCTAGTGGATTTGGGTCGTTTTTGGCTGGAGGAGGATGGGATGGCGAGTTGATGATTTGGGATCTTGAGGTGGGTCTTTACCGCTTGTCTCTCGTGTTCATCGCTTTGCTTCTCCAGCTCTCCTCTCTATCCCTCCACAGAGGTATCAATTACTATCAACACTTCTTTTTATACCTCCTCTCACCCCCAATTGGATACAACCACTCTCACACTACCACCTCTAGCCTCTCACCCTTACCCTCACTGATCTTGACCGAAAATTCGGACTTGTGAATTTCCAGCACCATGCACGATGATGTATGCTGATATCAGACTGGAAAAGTGATCAAAGAACACGAAGTGGAAGAAGATTGGGGAGATCAAAACCGTCGAACTAAACCTTTAATCGTATGTACCCTTCTCCTCTCGCTCTTAATAAGTGCTGATAGTAAGATGACGATGAGTTGGAGAGACGACGGTCGACAATTAGCAGTCGGAACACATAACAAGAAACTTATCACTGCGTACGTGGGAGATTTGTCTACTTCTCAGGAAGCTATGCAGAAAGAGGGTTCGACCAAAGGGGAAGATGTACTCATGGAGTAAGAAAGAACGAAAGAAGGCTAGTAAGTTTAGTTGAATGGTTGATCAAGTACGTCATCTACCGTATGTTAGCCATGCCCGCGAAATCCACACGTAGTGCATCGCCCCACTATCGGCTTCTAAATCGGTTTCCGACGAAAGATAAAGGATCCGTACCGCCCACTTCCTTCTTTCTACCTTCTGCCCGGTGGACGCTTACACTTCTTACGTCTGAATATACGAAACGTCTACTTGTACGAATACTGATATCCTACATCTGGTTTTCATCACATCCACTGTTTTCCGTATTGTTGTGTTATCATTTTATCGTATTCGGTGCGATTTCATCTAACTCGACGTGGACGATTGAGAGCTTTGAATAATTGATATTCTTATCACTGTAACATCAAATCACAGTGAATTACTGAAACAAAATGGCAACAAATCAAGAGGATCAAACCATGAATCCCGAACATTCGCAGGTTGATGCACACCCCGAGGGAGGCAATTCTCAATCACGATCAATCACCATATCCCCAAGACCTGGCGACACGTCTGACCCGGTACTCATGGCTCAATTCAAGCAAAAGATGACTATGAGCTTCCAAAATGATCCGGCGGCATGGGACCGCTTGGTACGAGTCGTGAGCCACAAGCGGGGTGCTCGGGGTGTTGTCAATACCCCAAACGGATAGCATCACCCTTCGAACAACTCAACCAGGAACTTTACTTCAACATCAGCATACTTAGCCAACTCTCAAGGTCCACTTGATGCTTATTCCAACATGGGGGTTGGACCTGACTCAGTCAGTCAAGGTGTCGACATGAACAATCAGTTTCTGCTTCAATCTATGAGCAATGTAGTTGGTACTGACATTAGACAGTATAACGGCTCCGGATGGGACACCAACCCCCGTCCGAATATGGGGATGCTCACTGCCTTTGATACTGCGCAACACATTGTAGCGGCCGGAAATCATGGGGAACCTTGGAATCTGATAAATGAAAACATGTTTCAGGAAAGTGATGGAAACAATGATCATCCTCCCTCAGGAGTGTCGGCCTCTGGAGGAGGGAAATATGGTCAATAGGTGTTTCCCATCTAACCAGACTCCTCAGATGCACAATGAAGAAGTTTGTTATCAGAAACAAGTTGGGGGAAGCACATATATATATATAGCTGGATGGATGAAAGTGATGTGAGAGTTTACAATGTCTTGTTCATACGGATGAAATTGGTGGGATTGCACTCTACATACTTACAGTACTTACAACCCATCTGGAATCTTTTGATGACTGACAGGGACCCCAAGTCACTTACATACTTGGTCCGTGATCAAGGACGATATTCTCATTTACCGCGCGTTTCTATTCTGTTTCTGTTTTGTGAATGTTCTGTTGGGTGCTTGAGTACTTACGATGACTTACTTGTACCTTAACATAGAAAGTGGAACAGTACGGAACCGATTTAGCTGGAAAGCCGTTCCGATTTATATGTTAGTTACCAGAATTTGACTTTGCAGGTTGACAAGGGACACATGAAAACGTCATGGAGCAGTTTTTATTCGTTAACACTTGAGATCCGCCCATCTCATCTGCAGGTTCGGAGGGAAACACATTGATTATCCGCAGACAGAGGCTCTAAAATGGGGGAAAGATGGCGAAGAGGGGAATACAGACATAAAAAATGCAGAAGCGGAACTACGAGTATTGGGGACTTGGAAATAAATGGGCACCTTTGGAATCATTACTCTCCATTCCGTCATACCACCTCTACGCCTCTATCACATCGCTTGGCCTGTCCCCGCGAATCATTGGTGCCGCAAGCTATGAATGAACTGTGAGCTCGTAGATGACGGGAATAGGAAATGGTGAATCATCGTATGAGAGTCGATGACGTGACTAAGAAGCATTCAACAAGTCATCATACTCTTTGCCCACGGGCGGATCATACCATGACATCGTGGGAAATTCTCACTCAGTGATAGATGTGTTTCCTAAGAGAAGGACAGAGATGTGAGGAAAGTTCTAGCACAATACAACATACTGTACACTGCCTCAACATATTTCCCACAGACAATGAATGGAGTGTGTCTCATCCAAAGTCTGAATCAAACCAGATAGGCAGAGTATTTAGCTGACAGGTTGAAACCTGTTGGGTAATCTCAAAGTTGCTTTGCCACCAGATTATTTATTTTTTTCAATTCATCATGGCATCCCCACCAACATCGGAACAATCCTCATCAGCTGCAAACGCCTCAGAGGACAATATTGATATCCTTATGATGTCTATGTCTTTCAGCGGGGATTGGACTTGCATAATGAACCTAGTCCATGATAGTGAGTACGCCGGGGAGGATTCCGGTCAACAAGTGGTCAGGTCACGCACCGTGGTATGTACATGGCTCTACAAGTGTGTGAGGTAAACCAATTCACTGATGAATCTAGTTTGGTGCGTCTCGGAAACGTACAGTTGGAGCCTTCTCTGGCTTGTCAAGTCGGCTGCCAGAGGGAAATGGTTTCGATATCACACAAGTTAGCATTGAACAGAATGGGCAAGAGGTACTTGACTCACGCGTACGCCTGAAATGGTTTGACACTTTTTTGAATCTTCAAGACATTGCGGATAGGATGAACCGTGAGGAGCCCCATGGACTGTTTTATGCGGGTGCCCTGATGACTCGCACCATTCCTCAAACAGAAGAAAACAATCTGTATTCACTTGTACAGGACTTCATGAAACAGGTCATTGAGGGGTATGAGCCTGGACCCCCTCCTTCATCTGTACAAACTGAATTTGAGCAATTCCAAGCTAAGAATAATGAGACCATCCCATCCAGGATGGATCAAATAGAGAAAGGGCTACGCCTCTGGAGAGATATAATAGACAGCCGACCTGGAAGTAGCCTCTGTCAAAAGGCCGAGCCAAGGCTACATTTAGCGGTGCACACACTTCAAAAGATGGTTCTGTTATGCGCCCTCAAAGCGGCAGGGTTTGAGGGTGAGGAGACTCCAACTGAGCCTTCATTTGATGCTATACAGGTGGAACCAAACACTCACCTTGTTCTGGGATGGGCCACAAAAGAATCGTCCCCTACCAAACCACAATGGAACTCTATTATCCAACACAGCATGCAACAGCTCATGGCGTCCATCAGTTGGAATGGTGAGCAGGTGTAACATCATGGTAGTGATGTCATACACCAGTAGAACACTAGTTATGAGAGCTTTTGAGGAACCTGAGGATGCATTTGAGTGCTGCAAGTTATGAGCATATTGTCACGGCCGTCGAGTAACTTCTCTCTAATGGACTGACGGTCGACGAACCTCGGCTAACTTGACACTTCGGAGTCGAAGTCTCACCCAACCAGGAGGGCGCAGGCGTCGAAAGGAGTGTAACTATGGCGTACTTTGACATAGTTACTCTAACTAGGGTTTTGTTTTACTGATGGCGATGTATCTCAATTTGAATGTAGCTATCTCTATCAATCTTTCACTACTGACAACAATCAAGGATTGCTGAAGAACTTCAGCGATCTTTGCAGCAAATATTATCTATTCCTCCTAGATGTTCACCCAACCCTCTCACGCTTAGACGTACTTCAACGCACTTCATCCAATGTCATGAATCACGCCATCATGTGTTCCTTGTTGCGCAAAACAAGTTCCACCTCCACTTTCATGTTTTAATATTTCACCTCTGCTCTCATGCCTATCAGGCATAAACTCCAAGTATCATTCTAGTATGTCGGTGCTTAGGTTTCATGCCTGCACGGCATAAGTCCCCAGTAATTCTCTAGTCTCTAGTTCCTCTGTTCTAATGCCTGCTAAGGCATAATCTCTCAGTCTCTTTGTCAAGGATACTGCCCACCCTGGGACAGAGGACAAAGGACAAGGGGACAAGGACTAGGAGTGACAAGGAATATACTTGAGATAACAAGACTGAGTCCAACAAGGAATGGGACTGTGACACAAGGAATGTCTCTGGCTTGTCTGGCAAGACT